GCATAATACTAAAGTGTGTTTTTAAACTAATTTTGTCAAAGGTTAAGGTCTTCGATAATTCCGCTGAGTGGTGTTTGAGTGGTGATACGTCCTGTTATGTTTGTATAGTGAATTCTGTGTTAGTAAGCGTTTTTGATTTATACAGATCTAATTTCCTACATGTCAGTTTTACAGGTTCGTTTGTATTTGTCTCACCCCACTTATTGATTTGCGACGTGACTTTCTGTCACCCTACTTATGACATTTGGAATCCTATTGGTTGTTCACTGTCTTAGTTTATCAATGACATTAGTGCTTCTCAAGGTCATTTTAAACATAAATATATACAAACTCTGTCAACGTTTCTTGACTGTTGTTTTGAGACAGTAAAGCTCTTTTATTAACGTCCGGTCTTTTTTTCTCTGTCTTTGTGGCCCGGCGGTGTTACTGACGTGCGATTCGGACAGATTAGCCACCGCATGAAGTTAGTATTTGCTCGTAGTCCACTAGTTCGTAGCTCCGGTCACTACAGTTTTTCATTACTTCCGATTTCGGTATTTGATTACGTGATCATATCAAGTCGAAAAGATGTGCACACTCCAGTTATACTCAGTAGAATAACGGATTATTTTCATCCGAATTCGCTTGTTTGGCCATTCATGGTTAGTAATAGAGTCCAGGATGCTCATTGCATCCTATTTTGGGACTTGTGTCAACTAGAGGTACACTTTTTCCTCCTCAGTCAGTGGCAACTCTGTACTCATCGCTTCAAAAATTTCAAAGCGTTCTCCATCTGTTCAAGGAGCTGATTCAACCAAACTAAAGGTGCCCAGTGTGCGTCGGTGGCATAGCGGTTAGGACGCTCGCCGACCATGCACATGGTCCGGGGTTCAAACCCCGGCCGGCGCACTCCTTTACCTCGCTTAGCCAGAAATAATGCTGGTAAAAAGGAAAGGTTGGGCATGAGGCTAGCAACCCCATCCTGTAAAATAAACACTGCTACAGAAACTTCAAGCCTCTAGCTTGAACCCCTATGTTCCACTGGGGAACGTGAAGGATAAAAAAAAAAAGGTGCCCAGTATCACAATCGGTAGTTACAAACATCTATTCAAAAGTTACATTATCACTAAATTATCTATCTGCTTGATGTGGATTATATACTGTAGCCAAGCTTTCATTTAATTATGAAGTGTTATGAAAGTATCTGTGCTATTCTCTTTCTTCCCTATGTACTATAAACATGAGTTTCCTAAACCACCGTAATAAAGATGGCTACCGTCTACGGATTGCAGATTGAATTCTATCAGCCGCAAGAAGTGCTAGACATTTGTCTAATCTAAGCACGTATTACATTCCGTAGTTGAAGTTGATCGTGAGCCTGAACAGTTCAGTGTTAACATTTGTGACTGTAGCACTGGGCGACCGGGATTCGACTCGCGCTGATGGGGCATATGAGTGTTCCCTCAAGATTGTAGACTAGCCTTAGTGATTAATGAATGCCAACAATTACGAAACCTAGGTACGAGGCTTCCTGCCGATTTCCTCTTAAGAACAATTATGAGTTCACCATGATGTCGAGCCACCTAACATGGTGACCACATTGTAAACGTGACTGACATTAAGAATTCAGTCTACAGCAAACAAAGGAGTAGACGGATGATGACACTAGTTGCTGCTTGGTTTCCAGTCAACATATACATAGTATTTTTTGAAGCACTAAAGATGATCTAGCTTTCACGTTATACATGACTCTCAGCCTGAGGAGTTCTCGATCTTGTGTGATTATTTATTAAGCTATTCAGGTGTTAGGGACTAGACTGATATCGGAAGTATTTACGTCTCTGATGAGGTTGACTTGCGGTTCCACTACTTTTCTTTTTTTGGAGGGGGGGGGGCTGCTGACTGATCGGTTGACTGCCTCAAAAAAAGCTGATACTTGTTTTGCTTGATGCAGCAATTATTTCAAAACCCTCTAGTTTCCAGGGTTTTCCTAGCTGTGAATATGATTCTTGACAGGTATTTCAAGTTGTATTGAGTAGCGGTATATTGTAGGAGTTGGGAAATCTTAAGGTATCAGGATCTAGTACTCAGGCTGAATAATAATAATAATGCTTATGCTTGCCACTTAACCTAAATGTCCCCTAGACGGACTAGGTACATGAATTGTTACAAGCTAGTACAACACCAGTCAAGTACTCCCTCGTCATTTTTCCCCAGCAGTTTATCCAACTCATGTCTTTTCTTGAAGGAAAAAACAGCCTTCGGATTTAAAAAAAGATATTTTATCATATGGCAACCATTTAGCCTGAAATAGGTTAACGGTAAATTTGGAGTAGATTAAGTTGACAATTGATTTCGTCTGCATTTAGAGAACTGCGACAAGGAACTTTGACAGTAGTATACACTAGCCAAAAACCTATCACCGATCAGAGTAGAGGTGGATTCGCTATAGTCTACGGAGATCTTAAAATGATGTCGCACACCAACCGACGTGCGTTGGTAGCATAGCGGTTAGGACGCCCGCCGACCATGCACATGGTCCGGGGTTCGATCCCTAACCGACATGGGCATGAGGCTAGCAACTCCATCCTGTAAAATAAACACTGCTACAGAAATTTCAAGCCACCAGCTTGAAGCCCTATGTTCCACTGGGGAACGTGAAGGAAAAAAAACACCAAGCGACAGGGTGGGCTGGCGGGCAGTTGTAGAACTAGCTGATGAAAGTGATGACGAAGAAATGAGTCCTTCGCTATTAAAGCCATATGTGTTCTATTCAGAACATATGAAATATATGCAGTAATAACAATAATGTAATGTAGATAGATACAGTTAGACATCTCACACTGGTAAGGAGGTTATGCGTAACGGTTGGTGCAAATTTTCAGTTGTCTAACTTGACGGACATCAGATTTCATTTTTTATCGACAGTCGAAGTCACGTTTTCCCTTAACTTCGACGATAAATCTCTTTTATGAACCGGTAAACATGTGTATATATTGATATATTGTGTTTATACAAGCCTACCGAAAGGTTTTTTTTCAATATTCAGTGGATACCTTGAGGAAAAATTGATATCGAAAAATATTTAGTGTCATTCACGTATATCATAGAAAGTAGAGGGGTTACGTTATTTTTATTAGTGTTATTCTCTTGCCTTCCAACTGGAATATAGACCTTCGACAGAACGTCGACATTTCATCCTGTTTTCAAGTATTGGTTTCGTAGGGATTTTGTTTGATTGTTCGAAACCTTCAGCGAGTACTGGACAGCTGGTGGTTTCATCCTAGTTTGGGACTGTCTCTTCATGGGTACGCACCCACACTGCAGGGTTCGAACCCAACACCTTCTGGTTACAAGGCGAGCTAGCTCGTAGACGATTACTCCACTGATGCGTCGGTGGCATAGCGGTAAGGACGCATGCCGACCATGCACATTGTCCGGGGTACGATCCCCGGCCACAGACGCATTCCTTTATCCCGATAAGCCAGAAATAATGCTGGTGAAGAGGAAAGGTTGGGCATGAGGCTAGCAACCCCATCCTGTAAAAATAAACAATGCTGCAGAAATTTCAAGCCACTAGCTTGAAGCCCTATGTTCCACTGGGGAACGTGAAGGAAAAAAAGAAACCCGATCCAATGACCAGTCAATGAATTCTAACTTCTGCCAATTCACGACATAGCGTAACTACTTTGCAATGTCTTCTTGCATCCTGTTCTCTGCAGACCTTTTTTGGAAGAGTTCACGATTGCGCAAAAAAATTTCATTCCCTCCATAGGCAATCTCCTCTATGTCACTGTGTTGAAGTGATGTCCAACTCATCGTTTGCCATTTGGACGCAAATCGAGTAATGACCGTCGCACGTGACGTCGTCACTCAATGGTCGTCTTCCTTAGTGTGTGTCCTATCCAACTTCCCCCACCCCCATTTCCTTCTGTGTGTTTGTTTGCCAGTAGGTTCTTGGTTGGTTCATTGTCTGAAAAAGTTCTTTGATGCTTATATTCTGATCTTCATTGAATATCATCATAGTGAATTTTCAATTAGTAGTAGTAGTGTTCTCTGAGCTGGTCGGTTTTAGTTGTGGAGCTTTCGTCGTTTTTTGGACAACTGAACCAACCAGCTCAGAGAGCAACACTACTAATTGCAAATCATTCACCTGAGCTACAAATCTTCTCTATTAATAGTAAGTTTTCATTGGTTTTATTATTATATTGATTGATATGGGCAATAAATTCAAAAACGTCTTTAACACTATGATTTACTACCAACTTGTGTAGCGGTTGGAGGAGTTCACTTAGCCACTTTGCCAGTCCATGTTAGGTAGAATTTGACATATCCAGGACTGGGTGAAGAGGAAGTCCTTGTTTATGTACTTTGGGCAGACCGTACAGACGTGAAGTATTACTTCCAGTAGGTTTTAGACGGTTGTTGACTGCCCCTGAGATTACTCCACTTTTACTCAGTTCCTTAAGCGTGTTAGTTAACTGCTTTTCAGCTTTTCCATCTAGATCTGTTGGGTTGATAAGCATTTGGAACTTCGTTTCATCCTTTAAAAGCGAGTTCAATTTGTCAACATAATCACACTTATTCATCAGTACTACTCCGGTTCCTTTATCATGTCTACTGATTATAATGTTTTCGTCGTTCCTTAACTTTCTTAGGGCTTCTCGATGCTGTTTAGTCAGCAAACTCTTACTAGAATGACTACTGTTTTTATACTGTTGACAACTGTCGACTAGTGTAGTTTTAAACCTAGCGACTTCATCGTCTGACGTTGGGGTCAAATCTTTTGTTTGTAGGAGGAGATTTTCAAACTGGATGTTGGTATCTAGTTGGTTGACCTTAAATCCTTGGATATCCTTGATATGGGCAAGCCCTATATTTGTGTCAAGCCTTTTTTGACCCAATTAGTAACTGAGTCCTACTACTGTCTTTTGTTTTATTTAATTAACTTTGTGTGTATTTCCAATTTTTTTTAAAATATATATTTTTCTCGTTTCAATGAAGCTATTCCTAACGATATAATGAATGATTGGAAGACTTCAAAGCCTAATGAAAAATTACATCTCCCATACAAAAATAAGTTTCTCAGTAAGTATTTTTGTGTATATTTTGTATGCCTATTGTTTTTTCTAAGTGAGGTCATCACATTATATGTATTACCCTTGGAGTTTTATTTCCTTTGATCTACACTGACACAATCATCTCACCATCGATTATAAGGTGTTTATCTTTACGTGGGGCTTTTACTCATTAGAGTAAATACATCGGAATTCCAAATACTGGGTCATGGGTTCGGCTCCCACTTCGTATGCGCCGAGCAGGTCGGTCAGGTAGTTAATATCACTGCCAACTGTATGACAATGCGTGTTTGTGGAGTAGAGTAACCTTATCTTTTCTTATATCCATGCGTACTAATCAAGGTTAGTTGTCAAGGAACTTAGCCCTAAGTTCCTATTGTAACGAAGACGCTCTGAACCGATAATTACTGTGTACTTGTCTCGACTACAACTCCAAAACACCAGTACTTTTTTGAAAGTTATTTTTTTGGCGATTAAAGTAAAGACAATTGCAAGTCTATAAACAAATTTTTTTATACAAAATTATGATGTACTTTTATTCGTATTCTTTCGTCTTCTTCGAACTTGTACACGATCGAACCATTCGCGCCTTCGAGTTGTCCGCCGATGGCTACCAAGGTCAATCAACCAATGTTCAATGTTCATATTCCTTGACATTAGTAGTGATAAATCTCTGTTAACTCTGTTGTTCAGTTCACTCACTAATTCTCATAATGTTCTTATCGTATATTTTTCTGTGTTCTAAATGACACTTTTATATTTTGCGCAGTATTGGATTGAATAGGGATGCCCGAGTTAGTGATCACTCGTATTCCTTTTATCCTACTCCAATAGCGTATACAACAGCTACCTGATTTCTCAACCCTCTACACAAACGGGAACACACCACAAGGTGACATACACATCTATTATTCAACCACTTCTACTCCCATGGTAACAGCTGTGTTGATTTGACTAAACTTTTCTTTGTTTGTTTGATTTGACATATATTATTATTGTTACTTTAAGTTCCAAATGGAACATGGGCTGCAACAGCACATCTCCACTCTGTCCTACTCTCTGCATTCCTCTTTAGTTGGTCCTACAGTTTCTCGTAATCTCTGACCTCCTCCTTCATGTCACCCTCATACGCTTAACTCGTTGTTTCTTATTCAGCAATATTTGTTGAGCATATCGTTCGTTCCCAGAGTTTCTATATGATCTTTAGCATGAAACCAGAGAAAGCAGCTGTCGATAAAAGTCTGAGACCAGTAAGAAATGCTTTTTGTGACGCGGGCGCCAAGTTTCTGACCCATATAGAAGAGAAGTGACTGAATTAACATTCAAGTGTTTGTTTGCAGGAGCTTGATTTGATGGGTTACAGGATTTCATGTTGAGCTTACATTAGTTAGAGAACCATTAGAAAACCTGAGAGTACTAGTCGGCTGTTTCGTCCAAGTTTGGGACTCTTCCTCAGTACACGCATCCATCGGTGGTGGTAATGTGGTGAGAGATGGTCGCTGGCCAAATTGGTTGACAGTAATTGAGGTCAAAGGTCAAGATGGACAGGCGGATACAGTTAACCTATAGATGAATTGACACAGCCACAAGAGATGCAAGGTTAACTTTGTGTGAGAAACAACCAATCAACAGACTGTATTTTCTACTAACATTAACCTACAATAATGTACATCAAAATCTATAAATACGTGTTGATTTTCCGTAATAAACGTTCTGTTGCCTGGCCCTTGTCTTCTGTTGTTACAGTAGAACCCGGGACCCAGGACTTAACATTGGTGTCGAAAATTCGAAATTTGCAGAAAAACTGATTTCAGAATGATGAAGGTCTCTTTTCTCTTTCCGATTCTGGCTTTACCATCATCATCCTTGTCAGTTGGTTGTAATTCAAATGACTCTGCTTAGAAAAATGAAGGAAGCGACCTCTTTCAAACGCATTCCGTTGATAGTGATAGGTGTTTGTTGTCGTTGTTGTTGGTGATCGGTATCTTCATCACCTCCATCTTCTTTATGTTCACATGAAGTTCTGTGTTCGCTGCCTACTTCCTTTTCCAGTTTGTTGGTTTTCGCCTGCCTGCAAGTCTTCGATTTTGTGTGACACTAGACGTAAATCATCCACGCGCGATATCCAGATCTTTTAGAATCTTCTTGTTGGTCGGTGCAGCGTATTCCTGTCTTCTCTTTCCACACAGTTCACTGTATAATCCAGTCCATCAAAGTTAGGATTAGTACCGGTGATAGTGTGTGTCGGTGGCACAATGGTAGAGTGCTCGCCGGCCATGCAGGGCGGTCCGGGGTTCTATCCCTGCCCGGCCAATGCACTCCTTTACCTCGTTAAGCCAGTAATAACAAAAAAACTGGTGAAGAGGAAAAGTTAGGCATGAGGCTAGCACTCATCCTGTAAAAATAATCATCACTGCTACAGAAACTTCAAGCCTCTAGCTTGAAGTGCTCGCTATGTTCCACTGGGAATGTGAAGGAAAAAAAAATATCGGTGATAGTGTGTCTGCAGCCGTATCTTACTCCTGTCTTCACTGCAAAGGCTTCGCTGAGTTTTCTCTTGTGGGTCACTTGACATGTGGCACTGTCATATAACCAGCCGTTGAATGAGGTTGACCTGGATTTGGAACACTCCTTAATGTTGAAGTAACTTCCAACGCCAGCTTGGGTTGTTATTATTAATTTCTTTTAAGTAGATAGTGGTATTATCAAATCTAACCATATTCGGGAATTGTGTAGTAATTCATTTATTCACAGTAATATATTTTTGTCTTCGGCATTGACCTGTTAATTGCATATAGATTAATGTGATTCCGAAGTTGATGTTCGCCAGTGCATAGTCTAAACACCTACCATAATTCCTACAAGGTGAATTAAGCGTGATAATTTTCTTTTTCTTTTTCTTCCTTCACATTCCCAGTGGAACGTAGGGCTTCAAGTTAGAGGCTTGAAGTTTCTGTAGCAGTGGTGATTATTTTCACAGGATGGGGTTGCTGGCCACCTCATGCCCCAACCTTTCCTCTTTACCAGCTTTTTTCTTATCACTGGCTTAGCGAAGTAAAGGAGTGCGTCGTTGGCCGGGTGGGGATCGAACCCCGGACCACGTGCATGGTCGGCGAACGTCGTAACCGCTGTGCCACCGACGCGCGATAATTGTAGGTGTTCATTTGAGTAATGACCTCTATCCATTATACAAATTTCATAAGACTGATTAGTAGTCAACAAAGAAATATTCACAGTTTCAATAACTTTACCATGTTTTATGTGTATATATGTCTGTAATAATCAAGGAATTATTGTTGTTATTAACAATAATGTTTTAAATAATATTGGAAAAATAGGATCAACCCAATTACAGTTCAAAAGAATCGATCCCCTGCCGATGCACACCTGATATCAGTTGGTTGGCCTGCAAAATGTTTGGGCTACCGATATCACATGCTGAAAATTCCATACTTCTACGAGAAGTACTGTGTGGAATCAAGCTATAATAAAAAAAATTGAATGTATCAGATAAATTATGAAAAATGATAAAGAATTTTAGAATATTTACATATTCTAAGTTCTACAACAGATGTGTTTCTTTCGCATGCCGAGCAATTGAGGTTAGGCGCAGAGTGCTAGGTAAGGAAGGGAAATCAATAGACGAGACTGTGAAATTACATCGACTGAGATGGTTAGGACATGTGTTACGTATGCTTAGTCATCGCCTTCCTCGACAATGGGCAATGTTAGCTGATATAGGGTCAGGCTGGAAAAGAGCTAGCGGTGGTCAAACGAAAACATGGCACCAATCGATGAAATCTACAACAGATAGTCTAAGCCAGCCACGTAGGAAGGTGTAGACTTCCTGACTGGCTGGGGTCCTGGGGACGGTAAAAACCAATGGTTGGAAACAATTGGTGACATGGCTCAAAATCGTTCTCAATGGCTGGTGCAGATGCATCCACTCCTTGTGACTTATGATTTCCAATGAAACTGTTTTGTTCTTCGTTATTACTATACCTTTGTCTCACACCTCTGTTTACTGTCTATATTATGCATTTCTCCTACTTTCTTCTCTTGCTTTGTGTGCTACATGGAGTGTGGCGACTGGAACTGCTGCACACTGGTGCAAAGTTCTATGTTGAAACGAAACAGACATTCTTTCATTCACTATTATGGATGGATATATATAACTGTAGAACCTGATGGAGAAGGGGGTTATCGATGGGGTGAATACTTTTTTTGTTCCAACAATCAATCTTTTGAAATCATGTTTTCAGTGATACACTTAGGCTTTAAGTAATACACAAACAACTATTAGCTCTGATGACGAGGAAGTTATCGGAAATTTCAATGAATGTATATTTTCTGTTCACTATTTATATCTATAAATGTCTTATAAATTTAATTAGTGGATGGTGACTAGCAGTGGAATCCAGGACAACGCGCATTTCGCATTATTTGGAACTCGTCGACCGAATGTACCTGCATTGCTCAATGAGTGATGATGTTCCCACCGAGGCTCAAACCTAAAATTCAATCGAATAACTAATATGACCCGTTGCATAAGAGGTGGCTCTCGTGGCCCAAGTGGTCTAGTTGATAACGTTTTGGTGTTTGAAACTATGGGCACTGAGTTAGAGCCTCAGTGGGAACATCATCACTCACTGACTGTGGAATGCAGGTACATCCAGATAACGTCCCAAATAGAACGAAATGTGCGTTGTCCTGGATTTCACTGCTGGTCACCATCCACCGATTCAATTGTGATTACATGCCCAGACATTGTCGAAGCTTCTGTACAAGAAGCCGACATGTCAACCTGAGACCGAGCACTTGGGTCCAATCAATCGACGTGATAAATCTAAAATTCAATTAAATGCCTTATACATATTTGTGTTTACATAAGTGCTGTTCGCAATATACTCCTGTGTAGCTGATAATTTACATTATCTCTTTTCTTTTCGTTTATCATCCCATTTTTTTTAGCTACAGATTTCAGTCTGTTGGATTCGGCAAATGATATGAAAGTAGGCTTCTTTTTTGTTTATTCACAAACAGTAATCTATTATTCTTGCTTCCTTTTTAATACTCGAATCAGAATTCTGCACCGACTCTTTGTTGTTTAAAGATGATCAGAGTGTATAGGTAGTTGAGCTTGTTGAGTATGTCACTTATTTGAGGCGGGCGGCCGGGCGGGACGGAAGGAGGATTTTGCATCAGCCTAAATGGATTGATTATCGATCAAATCTAAACACGGATACAAGAGGGTTGTGTGGTATTTACTAACCTTCTTGTCCGCCGGTGTATAGGTGATATCCAACTGTCGACTATAGGCCATGTGCACTTCACAGTAGTTCTCTTTGTCCTTCTTTGTACCTATGAGTAGATATAACCGTTGAAAGTATAAGATATAAGCTTTCCCTTTCCTCTTCGTTAAGTGGTACAATAAAGTAGGTGAAATTTGAGGTTAGGCGTATAGTGAGTACTGGGTAAGGTGAGGAAGTCAATTGATGAAGTTGTGAGGGTGCATCTATTGAGATATCTAGGGCAAATGTTACAGATTGCAACTCGTGTCCTTCCTTGTCTGACATTTGATAAGTTGGAAAAGAGTTGGGCTACGTAGGGAGGAGTAAACTGTCTGACTGGAGTCATCGAAGATCCATTGATTGAAATGGCCAGTACATATATATATATATATTTAATGCTGCGAGTTCATAGTTAGCATGGCGACTAAAGTTTGCACAAGTGTAATTCATTTGAGAGAAGGCTCTAAAGGCATTCAGGTACAAGCTATATCATCAGTCCATGAAGTTATGTGCCCCTGGTGAAAGCTATCTACATAGTAGGTGGAATGTTGGCTTCCTCGTTGGGATGCAATGAGACACTGAATGTTAATTGTCAGAGATTGTTGGTAAAGTGGTCCAATAGGTGGTAGATCTATTAACTAACACCTTAACATCTACACTCTACAGATGTATCACGCTATACTTATTTTGTTATATCATTTTATTTCTGTTCTGCTATTTCGTGTTGTTATACTACAATGTGATTCAAGTCGGATTGATATACTCTCTATGCTAAGTTTAGTGTATCAGATATACGAAACCAACTACATAGCATCAGGCAAATAACAAGCTATGAGCGTATATCATTCTCTGTGTACAGACTGCGCGCTGCTTATTTTTCTCACCCCCCCCTTATTTCTCTTTTTGTTGTTTATTTATTTTCAGCAACCGAAAGATCTAAACTTAGAACCAGGCGCAGAATCTCGTTTACAATATGGTCATTTATGGTTTCAACAAAGTACACGTTTCAAATGTCCTAAGGGTGAGTGAGTCAGTGAATGAATGAGTGTATGTTGTATTTTGTTTTTGCAGCTTTCCTATTTTTATTAATAGTATGAAATATTCCCATATCATGATGTGAATTAAAAGTCAGTCTGAAAGATGAATATTATTCTCAATAATTTCTTCTCTTCAGGTTCTTACAATTATAAAATGTAATATTTGCTGGAAACAGTTAGTTCCCTTTATGAATTTAGACAAAGCAATAAGAAGACGTAATTCGTTTGAATCGTGTAATACATTTGCGCAACACATTTCGAACAATTAGCAGTTATGGTGTGTCAAAATAAGTAGTCGTATTTGTGTGACAAATGTGCTCTGGGCTGAAATCGATTACAAAATAATTTAAAACGGGAGACAATGGTGGTGATTAGTCATAATAGATTTGTAGAGTGTGGGTTAGGAAAAATTGACAAGTCAGTTCAAGGTTATAAAAGGTGTCAGGGGTGAGTGGCTAGTACAAAGTGGTTTGTATTAAACAGGAGATAGTAAAACTGCAATGAGAGGTTCACAATGAAATAACGAATATGTGAAATGAAACAAATGGAGGCCTATATTGAGAAAAGAGATAATATCACTAATAATACTAATAAGTCCGGATAGTGTAAATGGAAAATTCGATAGTATTAAGAGAATGTTTGCATGAAGGGCATAAATTATGACGAATAATAATCATAGCAATTGTAATAATAAGCAAAGGAAAAAACAAACCAAGAGGGTTAAGCTGAAGTGGTACTCTTGGTGAACAGAAGAATCATGGTAGGTACAGCGTCTGAATGTGTTCCTTTTGGATACAAATTTCCTGTTTAGTCGATCTTATTGCAACAGCTTCAGTTATATGTGTAGGAGATGTAAGCGAAGTGTACGTGATAACGACTTCGGAATTTGGTGTATAACCAACCCTATAGGCTGTGTTTTGGCGTCGATGCGATGTCCAGTATCTTGACCAAGTGTGACAGAATCGAGATTTTTATTCAATTTAATTTCCTTCTTGATGAACCAAGCTGGTGAATGTTCTCAAACCCCTTAGACGAAGTTGCCTATTATTGAAAAGAATATTCTTCTTTCAGATTGACTTTTAACGTCCTATTTTTTTAATGCTAATTGGAATTATTCGATTAGAATTGTGTTCACTTTAAAGAGTCATATTGAATTAGAGATAGAGTTGTGAGAAAAATAATTTGGTACTCGGAAAAGTAAAACACCAATCGTGCAAAATACTGTGAACTTTTCTTGGACTATCCTCTGTTAAAATACTGTGTGAATCTGTAGTCACAATACAACCCATTATTTAACTGATATATACAAACCTAACTTCCTACATGTCATTTTTACACAGCTGTTTGTACTTCTCTCACCCTACACTTATTGATTTATGATTAAATTTTCTCTCAAATGATACTTATGACTTTTGAAATCCTATTGGTTGTTCACTATCTTAATTTATCAATGACATTAGTGCTTCTCAAGGTCATTTTAAACATATATATATATATATATACGCAAGTGGGACGCTTAAAGCTACCTTTTACCAACGTCCAGTCTTTTCTTTGAGCCTTTGCGGCCTGGCGAAGTTATCGCTGTTGTTTTGTTTATGTCATGCGATTAGGTCAGATCAGCCAGCGCATTAAATTTAGTATTCTCTCGCAATCTATCATTATTATTGTTCCCTTGGGTTCCTAGTGAAACATAGGGCTTCAACGACACGTCTCCACTTGCGGCTATCTTCTTCTGTACTTTTCACCTGCATCCATGTTAGTCCATACTGTTTCAACTCTTCTTCACACGATCTCCTACATGTCACCCTTCGACGTCCCACTCGCCGCTTCCCTTTCGGGTTCCACTCGAGCTATGGCCTGACGCGCGATGTCACCCAGCGGCCTCCTCAGCGAGTGTCCAATCCATCTCCACTTTCTCTTGCATATTCGTTGGGCGATTGGTTCTTGTTTTGTTTCTTCCCATAGTTTCTTGTTGGTGATTCTTTCCGGCCATCTGATCTTCAGAGAACAAAGAATGTACATTTTCGACCATTTACAATGACAAATGATCTGCAAACATTATTGGTCCCATATCTTAGAATTCCCTCGTGAATTACGCATTGCCTTCACCAACGACGCAACCTGGATTACAGTTGTGAAATATACCTTTATACCAATAAAAAAGTATTGATTTATAATACTTCACGATTGTAACTTACAACATAACTGATTGTACCTGCAAAAATGGCTTGCATTTCTTGAAAACACCCGTTTATAAGAAAATACAGACTGTCATTATTATTAGCCTACCTTGAGTACTATTCACTTGTGATGTTACGAATAAAATGCTGACAAAAGTATACAAGTGTATTATTTATTTTAAATTATTATCAAATATGGATATAAATCAAGAATAAGACTCGATGCCGTACACACCAAGTTATATGGAGGAATTACTTCAAGCTTTATTTTTTTCCCAAGTATTTGTAATCCATCCAAAACATACTTGGGTTTTTTTTGTTAATGCGAAGACAATATTTCTATATTTCTTGATGTGCTCCATTGAATGACTAGTTATCATATTGTTCCCATAGACGAAATGACTGCAACCTTATAATTTTACCATGAACCAAATTTATGTAATTTAAATGATACTTATCCATGCCTGTACAATTGGTATGTCCTACACAGGTGGAAAAATGTATTTTATTAAATTACTATTATTAAATATGCTTACTAATCGTATATGTAATTTATCATATTGATGATGCCTGTAAACTGGCGTCCCTCATGTAAAAAATGAGAATATATTATTAAATAGAACGAAGACAGCTGTTGATAAAGGTCTGCAACAGGCTGTTGGAAATATTCTTTGTGACCCGCCAAGTTTCTGATCCATGCGTATAGAAGAACTGACTGACTTGACGTTTGTATTGAAAATCCGAATTTTGTTGTTGTTGATGCTGAGTGACGAAGATTTCCAGATTGGTTTCAGGTTGATGAATGCGTTTCTCGCCTTCCCGATTCTCGATTTGACATCCTCGTCCGTTCCTCCTATAGTTGAGACAATGCTCCCTAGATAAGTGAATGAAGTAATCTCTTTCAAGTCCCTCGCGTTGATGGTGATTGGTGTTGGATGTTGCTGCTGTTGTTGTTGGTTGGTTATTTTCATAACCTCCGTCTTGTCTATGTTCACCTGGAGTGCTGTCTTTGCTGCTTCTTCGACCAGTTTGACGGTTTTTGCTTGTAAGTCTTCGATTTTGTGTGCCGTCAAACATAAATCGTCCGCGAAATCCAGGTCTTCTAGGTTCTTTACGTCGGTCCAAGATATCCCTGTCTTTTCGTTTCCCACTGTCTGACGCATAATCCAGTCCACCACAATTAGGAATATCATTGGTGATAATAAGCACCCTTGTCTGACTCCTGTGTTTACTCCAAATTCCTCGCTGAGTTTTCTGTTGTGGATCACTTGACATGTGCCGTAATCCCCAATTTCGTATTTCTGGTCACTGATTTTTACTATTATTATTATTTTTATTATTATTATTACTGTTTATGATGACCCCATGTCAAATTAAATTGTTCGGGCTTAGACTTTTGCATCTTTAGTGCCTTAGCTATATGCCCAGATGTCTTGTTCTGACTGCCTTTAATGAAAGGTTCAATTGAATCTTGTATAGGAGTTTTAAGGACTTTTCATCAAATAGAGTTGAATGTCCTGAGTGTTTACCGGATGTTCTGTTACCAAGCTACGCAGACACTTACACACACACATAGACACACCTACATTCTCCCTTTGCTATCCAGACTGAATGGAGTTTTTCATGCCCCCCTCAGCTTATAAAACACGCTAGGCAACACTGTCCAACGAGAGTCTCTCAGATCAAGGTAGCATCTGCGCATATATATAGTTTGAAGCACTAGCGATTCAAAAGATGAAGAGAAGCAGACCCAACTTTTGACTGCACCATGGTGGTCATTATGAACAATTCTTTCTTTCTCACAATAATGATTATCCTATTATAACTATTATTATTATTATTTTTATTATTACATTTGTTTATTATATCTATAAATTCCTAAATCTATTGCATGATTTGTTTGATTTCCGATACATTCCGTGTTTGTTATCTTTTGAATTCATTTCATCTCGAATCACAATACTAGTAATTGTAATTGCAATTTTTTCTAAAAAACAAATTTAATATTAATCATAATCATAATAATAATATCAATAATAATTCTTTATTCAATATCAATTGAATTGTAGTCAATAGGTGTTTATTTTAGCGATTTATTATTCTAGTGTAAATGTATTAAAGCTTTTTGATAACTGAACTGAATTTACGAAATGTTAAATAAAAGAAAGAGGACGATAGCTTAAAGATAAGCATATATATATATATCTGTATACGCCCTTCGAGATAAATTATAGCTGACCTAATTACCGGTGATATATATATATATATTCTTAATTGTGGTACTGTGAATTATGCGAAAGACAGTGCGCACGTGGTGAGAGCGAGAAGACAGGAATGCGTTGGACCACCGATAAGAATACTCTAGGCAATATCTGGATATCATCATGAGCTGACATCAGTTAGGGAACCACTGGAAAACCTGGGAGTACTGGACAGCTGTTTCGTCCTAGTTTGGGACTCCTCAACAGTACGCACCCACCGGGGTTCGAACCCAGGACCTCCTGGTTACAAGGCGAGCTCGTAGACCATTGAGCCACTAGCACCCGCCAATCCAATGGTTCTTGAATTCTAACTTCTGCCAAAACATGACATAGCGCGATCATTTCGCAATGTCTTCTTCGATGAGTTACTGCCTCATCTTTGACCTGCTGTACCCTACTGGTCACGGCTGTCCAATACTCCCAGGTTTTCCAGTGGTTCTCTAACTGATGTCAGCTCATGATGAAATCCTCCAACCAATCAAACAAAAAAATCCCTACAAAACCAATAATTGAAAATATCTGGATATCGCAGAAGATTTATGTCCGGTGTCACAGAAACTCGAAGAATTACAGGCGTAAACCAACAAGTAGGTAGAAGACGCAGGTAGCGAAGACAGGAATTCAAGTGAACATAGAGATTATGGAGTCGATGAAGATAACCAACCAACCACCCAACCACAAGAGATCACTTCCTACACTTATTCGGGCAGTATCCTTCCAACTACAGACAACCGTCTGGATGAGGATGTCAAAAGCAGAGTTGGAAGGTAAAGTGAATCTTCGTCCCTTTGAAATCAGCTTTTACAGTCTTCTGAACTCAGCAGCATAAAAAAACAAAATTCGGATTTTCAACACTAATCTTAAGTCAGTCACTCCTTTTATATGGGTGAGAAACTTGGCGTAGGTGTCACGAAAAGCATTTATAACAGGCTTCTGAGACTTTTTATCAACAACTGCCCACTTCGCTGTCTCCTTACTGAAGATCAGATCACGTTTTATAGATAAGAATATACATTCAAATCCTATAAAGCGTGACTTATCATCCTTACCCAAGAAAATACTTTACATGAGCTTGAAATTCAAAGGGGACTAAGCTTCCGATATCATGAAATGAAAGATATCACAATCCCTGAAAAGAACATTCCCTGCTGCATCTCTGAGAATAGACTTTACTAATCGACCATTACTGTTCAATACCCTGAAGGACAAGATCCCGCTGTTGACCAACTCTATGTGTGTTTATCAATTCACCTGCTCGTGTGGAGCTAGGTATATCGGTTGTTCGACTCGAGTTTTGTCCAAGAGGGTGCAAGAACACTATCCTGCATGGTTACGAAAAGGTGGAAGTGGAGCAATAAGAAGCGCGATCATTGAACATCTGGTCGATAATGATCACCCTATCTCTATAGCCTCCGCCTTTAAAGTCATCTACTAGGCAAAAAGTAATTTACTCAAATCCCTACGTACCCGACTATCGAAACAGAAAAGGCAGATCTCAGTGTACAGAAAAAGTTCGTTCAACCCCTCCAACTTTCATGGTCTTAATCCCTCTATGCTAAAGTATGATAATCCCTAATCATATTTTGGCTCTACCAATTTTTCATTTTGTCTATTCTATTGTTACTATTACTACTCTCACTTTGAACTGTCCCCGGTATTATTTCACTTGCTTCACTTGTCATTCTAAATCAATTCTTTTTTTACAACGTTAAATTCTATGCTATCAAATTTCACACAATATTACGTAACGTTTTTATTTTATTCGATTTGTCTACTAATCGTATAATTGCACACCCCTTCCAAGTTCTATACATCCTATGAATTATTCTATATATGACATTAATTGTTTTGCCACTTGACATTTAACTATGATTATAATCACAAACATTTTAGTTTTAATTGCATTTCATAATACTACTAATATTATTTTATGCATTCACACCAATGATTCAATTCCCTCACCGGATATAACTTCTTAAAAACCATATGTGTGTATATACGATTGTACAGCTTGATGATAAATTCGTTGTTGAAAAGAGTCTCTTCGCTGAATCCCCACTTGTTTTGATTTTCTATATGTTACAATGGGAATTTTCCATGCGTTGAAGAAGATCAGATCACCGATCAGAAAGAATTAGTGACAAGAAACTCTGGTGGGTATCGGACCAATCAAGAACCGACTGGTCAACAAATATTTCGGATAAGGTGGAGATGGATGTGATACACACCGCGGAGGCTGCTGCTGAGTGGCGTCACCCTCCACGTTGGCTCACGAGCTGAATTGGAGTGGGAAACAACAAGTTTGGCGTCTGAGAGTGACACGGAGGACACTGTGTGAGGAGGAGGAGGAAATCAGAGCCTACGGGCAATTTTGGGTTCAGCTGGAGATGACTGCAAAGAACAGGCCAAAGTGTAGATGTGTTTTTGAAGCCGTATGTTCCACGTAGAACCTAAGGGCATAATAAATATACATATGTGGTGTGAGCTGACTGCTAGCCAGATTGGTAGACGGCAATTGACGTCAATGTTTACACGTCCCAAATCTTGGTGATGAGAAAAAGAACAAGAACAAAGACTAACTCAACAACCAATGACAGCAGACTTTGCATTGGTGGATACGATTAGCAGATATATGTCAACGGACTGTCTAAGAAATAGCCACAAAGAGATGACAGAATAACTTCCAGCGAGAAAACAACCAATCAGAAGACGCTGTTTCTCTGTTAATAATAACGAATAATAATAATGTACATAAAAATCTATAAATATCTGTTGATTTTCTCAATAAATGATCTGTTGCCTGACCCTTGTCTTCTGTCGTTACATAGATATCTTTGTCGTGTATGTACTTATAACCTATCCAGTATGAATACTAAACATTTAGTCTTCTGTAGCTTAAAAATGATCTAATAATAATGAACTGAATTGGAATTTGTCAACGTTTGGCTCTGCACAGAATATGCACAGCACTTCAAGTTGTCAGACGTTATAAAAAGACACAGATAGCTTGGGAGGATGATTTTAATAGGCTATTATTCTTGGCGTATCAGTGTGAAAGTTATAATTCATGGACCATCAAGTTGGCTCCCAGTGGCTGGATGATCTATGGCCTTTCCTTGTAAATGGAATTTCCTGGGTTCGGAATGTGGCAGTAGATACGTTCTGGCGACGAGTCGTCAACTAAGAAAACACAGATGTCCGGTACTCCTCCCTGGTTTTCACTGTTTCCTAAGTGATATCAATCCGTGGGCAAACAGGCGTCTTAGTGTTTTTAATTTATCAGAATTTCGGTATGATAAGCATTACTAAGATGGTGTATATATCCTCAGCGGCGGCTATTCAATACTATTTGATCACATATTATTTTCAAAGTATTTATTTTCACTATTGTAATTTTCTTTTTTTTTTTATTTAATTTACAGCCGATGTAGCAGTTCATCTATGGTCTGGTCTTGTAACAAAGACAAAAGAAAAGTAAGTTGGACAAATGTTGTTTATTTGCTTGCCAACGGCATATATGTAAATATGAGATGTCATCCCACCAACTAGTTGCTCGTCTCATTCCCGTTCCACTTGAGGACCTGTCTGGCGTGTGATATCACCCAACGATCTCTCCAGCTGGTATCTGATCCATTTTTTTTCCGGTATATTTGTTGGTTAGGCAATGGTTTCTTGGCGTATTCTTAGCTTGACAGCGTATTCTTCCTTATTGCTCATGGTTTCCAGCCAGCCATCTGATCTTCAGTTCAGAGAGAAAGTGACAGACAGACAGCTGTTGTTGAAAGTCTGCAGTAGTCTGTTGAAACCTGCTTTTACTGATGCGCGCACACCAAGCCACTGGACCGCATAGTAGAAGTACTAACTGACTTGATATTACTTTTTAATCACCGAAAATACCTGTTGAGTCATGAAGAAGTTGTGACCAGTAGGGTGCAGAAGGTCGGGTGTGAGGACAAATACTCTCCGAAGACATTGGCTAGGGGTCACGCTATGTCGTGAATTGGCAGAAGTTAGAATTCATGGGCCATTGGGTCGGGTCCCAGTGGCATAATGGCATACGAGCTCGCCTTTAACCAGAAAGTCCTGGGTTCGAATCCCGGTGGGTGCGTACTGATGAAGAGTCCCAAACTAGGATGAAACCGCCAGCTGTCCGGTACTCCTAGATGGTTTTCCAATGGTTCTCCAACTGATGTCAGCTCATGATGAAATCCTTCAACCAATCAGATAAATATAAATGTTTATCCCCCTGCTGTCAAGGGGCTGCACTTACTTCTTTTGTGTATACAAACATCTGAGTTTAATTCATAGATAGCCGCTACCTCTGCTGTCTTTAGATATTTGTAATGTAGTAAAATGCGTCAAGTTCCCTAGATAATCTTAAAATCATAGTCAGGGTTGGTAGAGTGACACAAATAGATCAAGTGTATTCTAGGAAAGAACTTCTGACTGCCTTCCTTTCTCTCTCTCTCTTGAAAAACCATGCTGGAATACGCTCTTGTATCTGTGTGGAATGCATTCTCTGGCTACGACCGATGTACCTTGTTCCATATAAGCAGGTGAATTGTTAGATGCACATGGAGGTGATCAGATGAGGCAGACAGCTTATCTTTTATATTAGAGACGAAGAACATCTTTAGGCTGGTGAAGGTGATTTGAAGTTTCATTGCAAAGAAAGTCTTACTAACTGATTTAGAAGGACGATTTTTGAGCCTATCTGAAGTTTGAACTTGAGTTGCTCGAGAGACTGTTGGTAGTGGGCGCGGACGGACACAGCTATTAATCGCTTTCAATGTCTTGGATGTATTCACTCTTTATGTGATCCTCCGTGTAGATTCATTAAATATTCATGATTTCTGTGTAATTATTGTTTCACTTGTACATTTTCAATTTACAGCGCATCACTGCATGCACTAATGGTCTTCGGTTTAAATCAATCTCTAAGCACGATAACTTATGAAGCTAGTGAAGCAGGATTAGAGTGAGTTTGATTCAACTGGAAATATTTATTTATGTATATAGTTAAATATTTTTTCTTGGTGGTTACCCAATGGTGTAGGCGATAATCTTTTCACGTATTAATCGATGCGGGTACTGGTCTCGAGTCTGAAGCGAAAATATTCCTTTACCTTACCAGTGGAACACAGGGCTTCAAGGTAGAGCTTTTTTGAAGTTTTGGTAGCAGTGGTATTTACTTTTACGGGATGAGGTTGCTAAACTTATGCCCAACCCCCCCTCTTTACCAGTCTTATTACTACTGGCTTAGCGAGGTTTAGGAGTGCGTCGGCCGGGGATCGAACCCGGACCACTTGCGTGGTTAGCGAGCATTCTACCACTGTGCCACCGATGCACAAGGCTTCAGTCTCAGTCAGGGAATATTACCACTTATTAAGGATGTACTGTATGTAACCATCTGATGGTGAGTCCAAATTTGGATGATGATACGTGCCTCCTGAATTCCACTTCTAACCACCATGTAACAAACAATTTCGAGTGGTTAGTCCTTGTGATCATCTAGACAGTCCGTTGACAAGGAGTCCATGCATCAGACTGAAGCTTATCAATCCTGGTCACACACAGGAAATCGCGAACACGAATGCAAATAGCGTTTCCAGCTTTATATGCTGTGTTGAATCCGATATTTGTGTAATAAGTGGCTGACTAACTGACCAACTGGTTTCTGTATAGAGCTTTACTCACAAAGGCAGCAGTTCCACTTGCCACACTCCATGTACCACACAAAGAAGACAAGAGAGAGAGAAAGGACGATGGTAAGCAGAAATGTGAGGAAGAACGAAGAGTAGCATGGAAAAGACAGTAGGATCTGATTGGATATAGGGGATCAAAGAGAGAACGATTTTTAGCCAAATCAGCAATTGTCTGCAGCTATTGATTCTTAGAATTCCGAACACCTCAATCAGACAGCCTACACCTCTCTGTGTGGCTCAGACTAACTATTAAAGATTTCGTGGACTGATTCCAAATTTTAGTTTGACCACCAGTAGCTTTTTTCCAACCTGACCCGAAATCAGTTAACATTAATCGTTTAGGGAGGCTATGGCTAGGTATACGTAATACACGTCCCAACCATCTCAATAGATTTAGTTTCACAACCTCATTGATGAATGACTGTCCCTCGTAACCTAACACTCTTCGCCTAACCTCAAAATTATTCACCCTGTAATACTAAGTAACATGTGAGACAGGATGCAAACATGTGTGGTCAAAGACACAGCTAGCTAGTCTTTTCATATCTTCTACTTTCAATGGCCATGTCTCCTAGCCATAAAGCAGGATAGAGAGAACTGGTGGTGTGCAGTACACACGCCTTATGATCGATACATACACCTGGATATCACATCAATGCCAGGGATAGTGCAAGTTGAGAAATCCCATAAAAACCTTTTCAATCCGAGCTGAAATTGCGTCAGCAGTAATCGCCTCTTTGGCGCTGGTACAACTTCCCAAATTATTGAAATGGTCAACACGTTCTGTTTCCGACATAGAACTTTGCACATATGTGCGGTAGTTCAAGTCGACACACTCCATGTAGCACACAAAGCAAGAGAAGAAAGTAGGAGAAATGCATAATATATACAGTAAACAGAGGTGTGGGACAAAGGTATAATAATAACGAGGAACAAAAACGTTTAATTGGAAATCAAAAGTCAAAAGTAGTGGATGCATCTTCGCCACTGAGAACGATTTTGAGCCACGTTACCAATTCTTTCCAACCATTGGTTTTTACCGTCCCGAGGACCCCAACCTGTCAGTGAGGAAGTCTACATCTTCCTACGTGGCTTAAACTAACTGTTGTGGATTTCATTGACTGGTGCCATGTTTTGGTTTGACCGCCGCTAGCTCTTCCAGTGTGGCCCTATGTCAGCTAACATTGCCCGTCGAGGAAGGCGATGACTAGGCATACGTAACACATGTCCTAACCATCTCAGTCGATGTAGCTTCACAGCCTCGTCAATTGATTTCCCCTCCTTACCTAGCACTCGACGCCTAACCTCAATATTGCTCACCTTATTATACCACTTCACGCGGGAGATAGAACGCAGACACCTATGATCAAAGACAGCTAATCTTTTCATGTCTTCCGCTCTCAATGGCCACGTCTTACAACCATAAGGGAGGACGGAGCGGACTGATGAGCAGTACACCTGCCATTTGGTTGACAATCAGTCGGATATCACGTCTGCGCCACAGACGGCGTAAACTGGCATATGCGAAACTAGCCCTCTGTATTCGTACTGAGATTTTGTCAGCGATCAGCCCGTTGGGGCTTCGTATCTTTCAGCTACGTATCAACACTATCCAATCCTGTAGCTACCCCATCATCTTACATTTGACAGTAGGTGATCGCATGCTAAGCATTCGAAGATTGCTGCTCAATGTGTGCTCAAAAGACTCTGCCTTTTTACCAGCGTCTTCACCTAGCAGGAATACATATCTGTAGATTCAAATTCAACAAGACTATCATTCTCAGGTTACAAGTCAATCCGTAAATCGCTGAAGTCAGTTTGGCTTAATTGCATCAGTACATCTATGATGACATTAAACAGAAATGGGGATAATGGGCATCGCTGAGGGACACCACTGCAATGGTTGTCTTCATCACCCTCGGTTGAAAATTCTCTGTAAGCTCTTACCTGGCTATCTGAGTTCGTGTAGAGTGAAAGTCTGCAATCAGGACAAATACTGGCAGTTGATATTGGCTGGCGATGACGCTATATATATATCTCGAAAAACAAAAAGTTAGAATTTCTCGATTGGAAATTGGTCGCCGTCCCAGTAGCTGAATGAATTCTCGACGAGTTCGCCTTGTGGTTTAAATGTCCTTCCTGATGGATCGGTTAGCTGACCTGTGTACTGCTGAAGTGAGGCAGACTGGGAGGACAAAATAGCTCTGCTGTAATCCCCGCATTTCAGTAGTTCTCTAATTGGTGTCAACTCTTTTTCTAACTTTAAAAGTTCCCAAGAATTTGATTAGTGAACTGTTCGGAAATAGAGAGAGAGAGAAGGGGGAGGAGATAGAGCATTGTGATTACGGTGATTATCGATTTCCAATGACAAAAGGGTGTCTTGAGTATGTCAATGAATATTTCTTTTGGTTGAAGAGGCACATTTGGATTGAATATATCTAGTGTTGGTTTGCAAGGAATTGATTGTTCCTAAAGGTTTAATCACATGTTGACATGAATTAGGGAACTATTGGAGGGTCCAGTAGCTGGATGGTCTACGAGCTCGCATTGTAACATGAAGTGCATAGGTGTGAACTCCAGTGGGTTGGTTCTATCTAGGAATCCCCCAAGTAGAGTAGGACGAAACTGGTGTCCAGTAACTCCCTGCTGGCTTTTCAATGGTTCTCTAAGTGATGTCAGCTTGCAATGAAGTCTGTAGGCAATCAAATCTCTGGAAACCAACACTTCATGAGTAATCTGATGCTCGCTTAGCGGTGATTGGCCTTAATGCAGAAAAGTTGCCTGGAGTATCTAGTGAGGAGTCGTATCTAACGGAGTCTATCAAGTCAGGTGGTTAAGTAAAACATTTACTCACCCATACCCTTGTCCGTCAATTGCGCTATATTTTGACACTTTTTAGTCTCATTCTATTATGTTCTTGTGACTACCGCTCTTTTAACTTTACTTTTTGTTTTATTTATTTGTTTTATATAGACAAGATGTTAGATTCCGTGACACTGGTTTATGTATTCATGTCAGTGGTTTCAACGAGAAACTATTTGTAAGTTTGTGAATTAAAAGCGATTTTTATCTTTATTACTCAGTCACTACTAGGCAGTATCGTCCTCCCCCATGTCATTCATGCCTCTTGGTTCTTGGTTTAGTAGCGACTGAATTCTATCAATCAATTTTCGCAATGTAGTCCTTCACGCTGGATGGCTTGCCATTGTGCGGTGCACATACGCACACAAACACACACTCTTAATTAGTGTTGGATGGTTGCAATCAATCGACAGAAAGTCTTTAATCGAGGTTTTGTGCTTGCTTCACTCGTCAGCAAGGCGTATATGCAATCTTGAAGCAGTTCATGTCTCTCCTGAGATTCGGACCAGTGCCAACCAGTGCTACAGCCAGAGACTCTACCACTGAGCTATTCGGGTTCATGATTGACTGCCTGTATTGGATATTTTGATTGGACACCAGTGTAAGGTGTGTAGTCCTTTGTTTGGTGCAGACTGCATTTTTTCTCCGCCATGTCTTCAATGCGGCCTTCAAGCTAGGTGGCTGACCATCATGGTGCACTCTAAATTGATGTTTGAGTGGTTGGAGCTTCTTGCTACCCATCAGCAGAAAGGTGTATCCTACAGTCTCGAAGAAACATATGCTTCATTTGGGAATCGAACTTGGATCATTGTGTTGCAGTCAGACATTTTTGCGTTTTTGAATCCACTGGAAAACCTCTGAACTGGACACATCTACATGCTAGTTAGATTTAAACCCAACATGCATTACAAACTTCAGCTATACATTAGTTGTCAATATTTGTCCGTCTACGTTTGGTGTAAGCTCTTGATTATTGACCGTCCGAAGTATGTGTATATTCGGATATATTGATATATGATAGTATTATGACTGAGTAATGGCGATGGGTGAGTACCACTCACATTTACCATTAGTGCTTGCTGGCCAGTCAGGTAGAAGTGGTCTAGACATAGTGGACGACAGACTGCCGTTTCGCTACTGGCACTAGCCAATATCATCAACGAATATTTGTCCTCACTCCTGACCGGATAGACCCCTCACTAGATCTCCAGTCAACTTCATCATGCTTGTCTTGTAACCGGTAGGTCCTGGATTCGAAACCCGGTGGGTGCATAATAATGCACTACTGATGAGTCGCACTCTAGGACAAAACAGGCAGCTGTCCAGTATTTCCAGTTAGTTTTGAAACAGTTCAGGGATTTATTCGTTTTATTGTATTACTTGTTGTAGTCTCTAAACCATTCGAGACAGGTTCAACAAATGGACCTGGATAATTGTTGGTATTAGATGGTTGGAGGCAATCAGCCACGGAAAGCCTTGTCTGACCTAGGTTTCATGCTAGCTGGCACTCCCAAGTCAGTCTGGCGACGTACGTGCAACCTTGAAGGAACTCAAGTCCCTTCTGAGATTCGATCCCGCGTCACCTAGTGAGTACTGCAGTCAGAGACGTGACCACTGAGCTAGGTCAGTGGTCAGGCGAGGCTTCTTGTGGCCGATTGCCTCCAGCCATTGAATACCATCAATTCAAAGTGGGAACCGCGATGGTGAGCCACCTAGTGGCATAGTGGTCATATTGCAAAATTGACTGATAAAATTCAGTCTGCAGGAAACAGAGGACTAGACATAGACACACATACATTACACTAGTTACTGACTAGTGTTCAATCAAAAGACGTGGATAATCTTTGCCGTTTAACAGGTTAGTTCCATATTAGTTTGTTTATTTGATATATCACACAGTGAAACAGTATTATTTACTGGATTAATCAAGAAATATGTAAGGAAATGTAAAAACAAAATAAATAATGATAGCAGCGATAGTGACAATAATAATAATAATGTTAATAATAGTAGTGATAATAATAATAATAATAATAATAATAATAATAATAATGACGACACCAATAATAAGAAATCTAAATCATCAGTAGTAATTCCATACAAGGAAGGAACGTCGGAAGCCTTACGCAGAATTCTTAACAAGGCAGGAATAAAAATGGCATTCAAACCCACAAACTCAATTAGAAACAAGCTTTGTCGGTTAAAGGATCCTGTAGAGCCCTTAAAACAAAACAATTTAGTTTATAAAAAGACAATTGCAGCGAAGAAAATTTTCTTTTCGACGAAGTCATCATCTAGGCTGTACATTCGTGTATTTATATCAAATGGATAGGAAAGTTCCAGAATAATTTCTGGTTAGGGGTCAAATTAATAAAAAATCACAATTAGGAATTAAAATGACATAACAAACAGGGGGGATGGGTAAAACTCGAACAAAGTAGCATTATAATAACTAAGAAGATTGACATTGTGCAATTGGGGGTTAGAGATGTAGAAATAACAAAATATACAGGATGTTTGGATAAAAAACTAATATGGTGAATAATTGTTTATGCAATCAAGGATTAAATATGTAGAAATAGTAAAATGACAAAATAAACAGGAAGAGTGGGTATGAAAATATGGTAGTGTAAACAGGGTTTAAGAAAACTTAAAATAACATGAATAAACAGGAAGTTTAGATAAGAAAGGTGATGAGATTGTCATTACTAAAAAATTTTACCTGCTTATGATGGCCATGGTAGGGAGAGGGGTTGGACGTAATTCTTTTGGACACAAAGTGTGGGTTTGAGCTTTTGGATAGCTAGCGCCTCAGCTATACCCAGATGTCTTGATTTGATTCCCTTTGATAAGTTTGATTGAATTTTGTATATTACTCGCGAACACTACCCAGCCTGGCTAGTAAAAGGAGACCGAAAACGTGTATACAGTTCAGTGACAGAACATCTGGTCAACTCAGGACATTCAGCGCCTTTCGAAAAATCCTTCAAAGTAATATACAAAATTCAATCAAACTTATCAAAGGGAATCAAATCAAGACATCTGGGTATAGCTGAGGCGCTAGCTATCCAAAAGCTCAAACCCACACTTTGTATCCAAAAGAATTACGTCCAACCCCTCTCCCTACCATGGCCATCATAAGCAGGTAAAATTTTTTAGTAATGACAATCTCATCACCTTTCTTATCTAAACTTCCTGTTTATTCATGTTATTTTAAGTTTTCTTAAACCCTGTTTACACTACCATATTTTCATACCCACTCTTCCTGTTTATTTTGTCATTTTACTATTTCTACATATTTAATCCTTGATTGCATAAACAATTATTCACCATATTAGTTTTTTATCCAAACATCCTGTATATTTTGTTATTTCTACATCTCTAACCCCCAATTGCACAATGTCAATCTTCTTAGTTATTATAATGCTACTTTGTTCGAGTTTTACCCATCCCCCCTGTTTGTTATGTCATTTTAATTCCTAATTGTGATTTTTTATTAATTTGACCCCTAACCAGAAATTATTCTGGAACTTTCCTATCCATTTGATATAAATACACGAATGTACAGCCTAGATGATGACTTCGTCGAAAAGAAAATTTTCTTCGCTGCAATTGTCTTTTTATTAACTCCTATGACCCAATGTGTATATTCCGTAATTTAGTTTATCTAATACGTTTCTGCAATGATTGTCAGGTCAAATACATAGGTCAAACTAGTAGAACAGGGGCAGTCAGACTAGCTGAACATAAAAACCTACCGAAATCTCGATTGGTTGACCCGAATAAGATAAGAAATCTAGAGAATAGTTCAGCTATAGCACTACATGCAGTTACACACAACCACACAATAGGATGGGATAGGATGACAGTTTTAAAATCTAATGTCACAGGGTATAGGGAGAGATTGATAACAGAAGCTTTGTTTATCGAATCAACTGGGAGAATACATGTAATAGGAATGATTCATCACCTGTCCCCGATATCTGGAAAATTCTACTACCCCTACGACAAATAGGAGAAAACAAAGAAAACGAGGAAACTCAAGTTTCAAAGTCAAGTGATTGATATATTATAATTGATATGATTATGAACAATGAATTTTGTTCGAAACGTCATCCAGTAAATAATACTGTTTCACTGTGTGATATATCAAATAAACAAACTAATATGGAATTACTTACTACCACAGTGTCCAAGTTTTACACATATAACAGGTTAGTTATTGACTATAAATTAGAAATTTTTTGAAGTGGTGGTGATTCTATAGTCAACAGTTGTGTAAACATGCATAGCTAATCAATCAACAGCAAAAACAACAAGCATTAATCACTGTCTAATAGATTAAATTTAAAAGAGATCACTGATTTGGACAGCTTACTTTTAAACTACAAGCGCTTGCACAGCTAACCAGAACCAGAAATGCAAGACAAACCTCACTCAATCTGAGATCACTGTGGAAATCTGCTGTATTCAATATGGAGAACAAGAATCGGATCGTCTTCGACACTAATATTCTATCAGCCATTGCTTCTATTGTGGTTCACGGAGTATTCATGTCATTATCAGCGGACTGAAGATTTTTTATCACCAGCTTCACATTTTCAAGTATTGGTTTTGTGGGGATTTTTGTATGTGTTTGATTGGTTGGAGGATTTCATCATGATGAGCTGACATCAGTTAGAGAACCATTGGAAAACCACCACTGGAGTACCGGACAGCTGGCGGTCTCGTCCTAGTTTAAGACTAGCTCTTCAGTGGTACGCACCCCACACTGCGGGTTTGAGACCCAGGACCTTCTGGTTACAAGGCGAGCCAGCTCGTAGACCGTTAAGCCACTGGGACCCAACCGATCCACTGACCAGTCCATGAATTCTAACTTCTGCCGATTGATGACATACCGCAACCACTTTGCAATGTCTTCTTCGATGAGTTACTGCCTCACTCTCAATCTGCTGTACCCTCCTGGTCACGGCTTCCCACTGGAATCCTAGGTAACTACCTACCTGAATAGGGCCATTGGCTAGTGAGCATTTCACTCACTACTCAAGATCAAACTGTCAGGAAGGATAAGTAACAGGGAACGTTGGAAACGAATCAACCAAAAGCCTATTACCATATAAATATGCTGGAAGAAGGGAATACACATTGATCAGACACACTTTAAGAAGACCATTCAGAGATATCGTGTGCCAAGCCATCACCCGAGTAGAACTCGAATGGGAAACGGATAGTCGACTATCCGAGTATGACGTGGGGGAGATGTAAGCTTGTAGGTCAAGCAAAGAGGAGTGCAGAAAACAGGATCAAATGATAGTGTGTTGTTCAAGCGCTGTGTTCCATTCCCCGAACCCAAGGAGTAATAATAATAATAATAGTAAATAATGATAATGCATGTGTGGCGTAGTATTTCATCACAAGAGTTAGCGAATCTTTGAAACTATGGTACACCACACTGGATCTGAATTGAGATTAATATAAATCCCTACAAAACTCAAGAAATGTGAATATCAATCGCTAACTCATTACCGGTTATACATAATGGATATCCTTAAGTTTTAGTGAGTTGTAGCCGGTAGGTTCCACTGCGTCAGGATGTAGCCGGTGCCCATCAATGGCAATGGTTAGATGTCACAAGTCATTGAACTGTAATTCAATGAGTGAAGAGTGGTCAGCATGCCTGCTTCATAATTTAAAGGTGCCAGATTCTATTCCTGCTGTCGAGATTTTGGTTGAGGGCAGCGGTATATATCATAAATTCACGCGTCGTTGAATTCCAACCCAACTAGCTGAATTCTCAACGTGCCCGGTCTCGTAACCTTGACGGTCTCAGGTTTTACTCTTTGAAAAGAACCTAATTATTCTGTCTCTTTGGTTAATTTTTGACTAAATTGTCTTTTCTTTTTGTTAACTTTTCATAAAATAATAGTCTTTCTATTCAACTGTTCTGGATCATATTATGGATCAAACGAATGATTTATCTAAGGAATTTTTTGAATCATATCGTGATGCTGCTCTTAAGTTATACTATAATGAGGGACTTAAACCAAGTGCACTTAACACGTAAGTGAAATGTATTTGAAAAAAAAATCTCCTGTTTTGTTTTTGTTATGCTCTTCAATCCTTATATGTTGTAAATAGTTTGTTTGGTTGGGAATCTACATCAACTGACATGAAATAGGGACACCAAGTTGGATAGAGACGTGCTGATCACGACTATCGATTGGCTATGCCAACACAACATTATCTGATGGCTACCTCTTTCCCCAGCTCGCACTGCTTAAACGAAAACACACAAAGACGTGAACTGCAGTTATGATGTGTGATTCAAAATGCCACCAAGGTTACGTTAATTAGTCTCTAATCTTGATCAATAAAATATTGGGCGTTATTTCAAGGTGGTCCCATTCTGATTGGCTAATTTCCAGACTGGATATCGATCACCTCTATGTGGGCCGAATTCTGATTGGTATATATTTCCAGATTGTCTATCGACTACCATATGATTCTCTAGATTACTTGAATCCGCCCACTGACGTTTGGTCAAATATGCGCTACATTTATGCATAGTAGATTTGATTCCCGTTTCCGAGAATGACGAGGCGGTTGATTTACTCCTCTCATATTCAGGCTGTGTATTTCACACTCAACCTCTCCGCTCTGTTTTCCGTGCTTGCTACCATTGCCTAGTGAATTAAGCAAGGTTCAAAAGGGCGTCAATAGGGGGGGGGAATAACTGACGCTAGATCAGTTTGCTGTACTCATATATATTCTTTTTATTTCTTTGCATTCCGAGTAGGAACATACGGCTTCAAACTTCGATTTACGAAGTTCCAGTAGCGGTAGTGTTTTATTTCTACGGGATTAATTGGCTAGCTTAACAATCATCAATGCCTCTTTAACGGGATTACTGTCGTCGGCTAAGTAAGGTTTAGGAGTGCGTCGGCTGGGGATCGAACTATGGGCGAACTGAATCTTGGTGGATGAGATTTCTACTGCTGGACTACAGATACACCAAAAGCGGCAACACCCTAGGTATTCCCATCCGGTCACCCATGCAAGTACTACTGAGCCAAATGCTGCTTAAATTCGGCTCATATTTTAGTCTGTGTTTTATTCAGCGTAGTTTTTCTTTTCACGAAGTAACTTGCAGGGGTGGTGGTTGTGGTGGTGATGCGACGTATTCACATTTTACTGCAGAAGTTCTCTAGTTAGCCTACTCTAAATATCTTGCATAGTGTGTGTAACTGCTAAGCGCTCAGATGTTCGCTTACTCACGTAAAATGATAATTTACTTATCGATTCTCAGTTACCATCACTCAAAGTTATGCATTAGTTGTTAAGTGCCACCAGTACGTCGGTGGTGCAGCGGTAGAATGCTCACCGACCACGCAGGTGGTTCGGGGTTCGATCCCCGGCCAACTATAAGGTTTCAGTAGAGGTGGTGTTCTTTTTCTTACAGAGGGCAGTTTCTAGCCTAACGCCTACTCTTCTCTTTTCTCAGAACTAACTATCTAGTGCGGTTTCGGAGTTAAGTTAGGCAGCAATCAAATTCGCATTGGTTGGCGTGGTTGGTGAACATTCTGCTATTGAACAATCGAGGTTATATTATTTAGTGCTATACAACTTAGCGAGAACTTTAAAAGATAGAACCAGGGGACTACCTACTGTCACCGATGCTATTGCTGATTCCTACCGACCATAAGGAGAGCAAGAAGATGGGTATACTTTGGGGCAACAAGAAGGATAAAGAAGATCTGGAGTTTGCGGATGATTTACATCTCCTACCACACAAACTCGGAGGTGTACAGGTGAAACAAACTGGTAGAATAAGCAGCAATAGTAGGACCTAAAGTTCAGCATAGAGAAGATATCGTCTATCTGTCTGTTTTTAACATAGAACTTTCCACCGTGTGCAGCACTTCCAGTCGCCATACTCCATGTAGCACACAAAGCAGGAGAAGAAAGTAGAAGAAATGCAAAATAGAGACAATAGACAGAGATATGAGACAAAGAGAATAGTAATAACGAATAACAATATAGTTTCATTGGAAATTATAAATTACAGGGAGTGGATGCATCTGCGCCATATCACTAATTGTCTCCAGCCTTCATTGGTGTGTACCGTCCCGAGGACCCCAACCAGTCAGGAAGTCTTCGCCTTCTTAAGTGGTTGGCTTAAATTAACTGTTGTGGATTTCATTGACTGATGAGGCCATGTTTCGATTTGACCACCGCCACTTGCTCTTTACCAGCCTATGTCAGCTAATTCTGACCATCGAGGAAGGCGATGTAGCTAGCTTCACAACCTCGTCAGTTGATTTCCCCTCCAACCTACCTAGCACTCAACCGAAGCCTAACCTCAATATTACTCACTTTATTATACCAATAAACACGGGAGATATAATTCAGGCACCTATGATTAAAGACAGCTAGCCGGCCTTTTTATGTCGTCCACTCTCAATGGCCTGTCCTGCTCACAGGCATAAAGGAGGACGAAGCGGACTGTTGAGCAGTACGCACGCCCTTTTGTCGATAGCCGATAGAGAAGATATAAGTGATGAAGATAATTAACCAACATCAACTAGCGCCTATCATCATGGGCATTGACACGGATGAGAGTGTTGAAGTCAACTAGGATCGGAAGTTAGGAAAGATCTTCATTGCGGAAATCTACTGCACTCAGCATAGCGAACGAGATCTCAAAGTTCAACACTAATATGTCAAGTCAGCTAGTGTTTCCATATGGTTCAGAGACTTGGTGATTGTGTCATCGCAATTATTTCCAGTGGCCTATTGTAAACTTTCATCAACAACTAACTTCACTGGATATTGAGGATCTTATGTTCGACCTGAAAGGCGGATGAGCAACAAGGAAATATGTCAGGCAACGAATACGCAAGTAAATAGTGGAGATTGATTAAACGCACGCTAAGGTGACTGTCGATTAGTGACATTATACACCTGACAGATCCTCAATTGAAAGCCGAATGGAAAATAAAGAGTTAGACGTCGCTTCGACGGTTTTACATGGATATGAAATCGTGTTAGGAGGAAATGGAAGCCTGTGTGGGAACCATCATAGAGTCTGCTTATAAAAAGACAGCAAAAATACAGAATGCTTTGCAGATGTGCTACTGTTGCCCAGTGTCTTATTCGGAATCCAAGAGAATAATAATTGTTAAAATGCATGGCTAAGATACGTTGATGATACGCTTGTTGTGCTAAAACTAGATCTATACAATTTATTCTTCGAGAAGCTGAACAGTCTATCTCCCAGCATCAAGTTTCCTTCGGAAGTAGGCGGAATCAGACCTCGGTGAACTACCGTTTCTAGACTGCCTGCCTAGTTGAGAGGAGGGAAAACGGATATTTAGATATATATCTATGTTCAGGAAGAAAACCCATTCCAACAAATATTTAGACTTTGGGTTATCACACCCCTTCAGCCCAAAGGTATCAGTTGTTTCAAGCCTTCCTAAAGGAGCACACTCTTTAATGTTAGCGGATGAAAAGGACAAAGAAGAAGAAATATCAAACAATACTGAGACCAAATCTCTAAGGATTCTCATTCTAATTTTGTCTGCAAAATAAAATTCTTGAAATATGATGCGATTTGCATCGGACAAACATCGTGAGACAGAAATCAAGGTAATCAGAAGAAATGAACCCCGTAAAGCATTTGTTCGACAGACCATTGAGAAATCCACTTAGTGAACTAGAAAAGCTTGAAAAGTAATCAGCCATAGGTGTTGGTTTACACGCTATGGAATCAGGTCACCAAATTGATTTTGACAATATTGAAATAATGCGGAAAAATTTCAGCAGTCACACAGAACGTCTCATTTCACCAGAAGCACTTCATGTCATCAAATGGAATCCAAATTGTCTGAATAGGAATTTTGGAGTAAAACAGAATTTGTCCTGGGTACAAAGGCCCCCTCCGCAATGAAATGACAAAGTGAACACGAATCTGACAAGCAATTTCATGATGTTAACACATGTTACTTTTACAATTTTACACACTTATCAAATCCGACAATCTACACTTGGTTTTGTTATCTTTACCAACTGGCCAACTTGTCAACGTAAAAATTACCACATGATGATGAAGGGTGATTAAGTCGCTATATATTAGCTGAGTGGAATTTATAAATTCTGGTTTAATATTACTGCTGTAATAACGCCGTTAGCAACCATATTAAATAGCGAAACATCAGTAAAAACAATAATATCGTTTTGTTTTTCATTCATTCATTGGGAAATGTAAAATCTTTTATAATCATAATTATAATGCATTCTATTCAAAATAAATAGTTATCGGAGAAGTTGGAATTCATGGGTTATGGAATCGGATCCCAATGACTGAATGGTATACGAGCTTGCCTTGTAACCGGTGGTAGACCCTATGTTCGAACCCCACGGTGGGTTAATGAAACAGGTTTCCAGTATTCCCAGCTGATTTTGAATAATCAATGTTTTCTTGCTTTCTCTGTTTCTTTCTTCTCACCGCTTTTTTTCTCTCGTTTTAACAGACATCTTCAAATTTATCTTCTTCGTCGTGAAGTCTACCTGCTACCAGATATATTGAATGCGCTGAAAGATCTGTCTGTAGCTGATTTAGCAGCCTACAAACAGCAGTTCTTCTCAAATCTTCATATAACTGTATATGCTTATGGTAATATTAGAAAAGAGGTAAGCCAACAGTCGTTGTATTTCTTGATATTATGACGGCCTTAGATTCTTTGGTCATAACTGCTATCCTGAGACCTGAAAAATCCGCCTATTGACCCTGGGCAGGGCACTTCAAGAGAGCAGTTCAACTAGCTGGCCGACACAGTCAGTGCCAAATATTATGGTCTGTCTGAATGGAACTGTAAGTAGTGGAACGCTACATGTTGCCTGCCGCCTAGATAGCCTATACCCGACGATTTTTAAAGATGACAGTGAGATTCTCGTTAGTGATTTGACTGACGAGAGGACATTCCATCGATGTGAAATGGAGACATCATTGTGTCCATCTTTAAAAGCCGTCTACATATTACTTGTAGCAGTCAAAGGGGTAATAATTTTCTACCCGTTGCGTCTTGCATACTGACAGCTATCTTGCTTCACAGACTGTGAAAATCTGTGAGGAACTGATTTGTGAAGAGTGTGCTGGGTTTAGTTCAGGCAGTGGATTCATCGACTATGTGTTTCCCTTATGTTAGCTTCTAAAATACTGTCACACGTATTACAGGCCAACAAATGTTGTGTTTCTGTATATTAGGACTGCCTTCAATTCGTTGTACAGAACTGCTTCTTAGAAGTGTCTGTTGCAGAGAGAAACATTTCAGATAGAATGAGGGTATACAACCGGTTATGAATGCTGTTCTCGATCAACAGTATGTTTGACCACCGTCAATGTTTTCCTTTAATTTTGTACCATCCACAACACTATGGGTACAGCTCTGAGGGATTTACCTGTGATGGCGTTGTAGACGCGTTAGTTAGAGAAAGACTTTGACCTCGAGTATGCAGACGATATTGTCTTACTGTACGACAGATGGCGATCTTCTTTCTTTCTTTATCCTTCACGTTCCCCAGTGGAACATAGGGCTTCAAGCTAGAGGCTTGAAGTTTCTGTAGCAGTGTTTATTTTTACAGGATGGGGTTGCTAGCCTCACGCCCAACCTTTCCTCTTCACCAGCTTTTAGTTCTGGCTTAGCGAGGTAAAGGGAGTGCGCCGGCCGGGGATAGAACCCCGGACCATGTGCATGGTCGGCGAGCGTCCTAACCGCTATGCCACCGACGCACACAGATGGCGATCAGTGTCTGTAAATACTGTATTTGCTTTGCCCTCTCCAATTGGAAAGTATTGTTTCAAGTTTGGCAGGAGCTTGTACCTACACTGTCTCTCTGAAGTAAATCTTTAAAAGTGGTCGATAAATTAGCCAAACCCTTATTAATATATGTGTAAAACTTGGGCACTGTAGTAGTAAGTAATTCGATATTAGTTTGCTTATTAGATATATCACACAGCCTCTGAAACAGTAGTATTGTTCACTGGATGACACAGTTTCGAACAAAATTTATTATTGTTCATGGTCATAGCATCAATTATAATCACACTGTGGTGAGAGATGGTTGCTAGCCAAATTGGTTGACAGTAATTGAGGTCAAGGTCAAGATGGACAGGCGGACACAGAACTGACACAGCCACAAGAGATGCAAGGTTAACTTTGTGTGAGAAACAACCAATCAACAGACTGTATTTCCTACTAACATTAACCTACAATAATGTACGTCAAAATCTATAAATGTGACTTGATTTTCCGTAATAAACGTTCTGTTGCCTGGCCCTTGTCTTCTGTTGTTACAACACGACTTGGGAACTTGAGTTTTATTGTTTTCTTTGTTCTCTCCTATTTGTCGTCGTTGGGGTAGTGCAATTTTCCAAATATCTGGGTGAACAGATGTTGAATCATTCCTCTTACACGTATTCGCCTCAGTTGATTCGATAAACAAAGCTTCCATTATTAATGTCTCTCTCCACCCTGTTACATTAGACTTTAAAATTGTCATCTTATCGAATCCTATTGTATGGTTGTATGTAATTGCAATTGGTATGGCTGAAATATTCTCTAGATTTCTTATCTTATTTGGGTCAACTTATCTAGATTTTGCTGCCAGGTTTTTATGCTCTGCTAGTCTGACTGACTGCACCTGTTCTACTAGTTTGACCTATGTATTTGACCTGACAATCATTGCAGGTGGGGTATTAGATCAACTAAATCGTGTTGTTTAACTGACTCCACAGGATTGATACTTTAACCGACAAAGCTTGTTTCAGTTGTAATTCCATACAGGGAAGGAACATCGGAACCTTATGCAGAATTCTTAGCATGGCAGGAATAAAAGTGGCATTCGAACCCAAAAACTCAATTACGAGTGCGCCTGCCGGCCCGTAATCGAACCCTTAGCATATGTATGTGTGTGTGGCTACCGAGAATATTCTGTCATGGAACCGCCGATGTGCATGAGTTTACTCATTGAATCTATGGCTAATAATAATATTAGTGAAGCTTTCCCCGACTGTAGAAGGCGCACTACTATTGGCGTTGTTCTGTTAGTTAATAATAACAAGCAAGTGTGAGTGTGTGAGATTGAAGATTTCAAGTCTTCATCGACGGACTTCATGCACATGGTCCCGGGGTTCGATCCCCAGCGACAGACGCACTCCTTTACCTCGCTAAGCCAGAAATAAAGCTGGCAAAGACGAAAAGATGGGCATGAGGCGGCTAGCAACCACTGCTACAGAAACTTCAAGCCTCTAACTTGAAGCCCTATGTTCCACTAGGAACGTGAAGGAATAAAAAACAATCGGCGAACTACCTATCTTGATAACTGATTCCCTGTCGTATTTAATATTCTTTATTGTTATTATCAAATTAAATCTTACAGTGAGTGGGTGCTTAGAAGTCATTTACTATATTCACTAAGAAAAAAAGTACCCATCCACATATGCATATAAGAACAAACAGTTCAGTGAAGAGATAGATGTCTTTTCGGCGAATTCAGTCACTCATTTAGCTGTACAATCATCATAATTATAAACAGAAACATATAAATCCCTAAAACCCACAAAGTGGATATACGCCATATCTATACGCCGAAGGAAATACTCATACATAAATGCTGCATTCAAAAGCAACCTTCTGGCCGCCGTTCGACTATTCAGTGTTTTGTTTTAATCAATAGGGCTATTGTTGCTTTCTGTTGTTATAAATGACTATTTATTCTCCACTTTGCTTTTATTCCCTTTCACTATGTGGTGGCGGCGGCAATGGCGGTGGTGTACAATAGGATGCTATAAATTTCTTTGATTACACTGTCAAGAAAATTAATCCGCTGCCTATTCCAAAACGAAAATTGGTAAGTCAACCCTGTTGAGGAATGTATCTTTGTATGTGTGTGTGTGTGTCATTTCCGTTTGTTAAGTATTTTGACTCTTTTTTAATGGTGCTGTGTAAGTGTATTTATACTTCTGTGTGTGTGTGTATAACAGGGCACCAGTGTATTAAAAAAGACAACTAACCGTTAAAATATAAAACAAGCCTTCATACCTTGCCTACAACGATTAGTGAAACCATTTAACAACTGTCTAAACCTCGATGTGTATATGTGAATGGGGAGGGAGGGGTAAGATTTCGAGCCTTAAACCAAGTAAGTGGTTGTTCGAATTTCAATTAGTAAGGGCAGTGTTCGAACTCGTGACACACTAGTTAAAAATCTAGTGCTTAGACCAATGTATGCGTGTGTAGTCTTGTGAAAAAAGAACAAATCAAGTGTTCGGTGGGTGGGATGAGTGCTCAACTCATGCATATGCACCGGAAATGTGAAGGCTGACTATGAGAGAAAAGGCAGATTGTGTCGTGACACACTAATGAACCTCGCTTAACCGATATATCATTAAGTCTGAAAAAGAAGGAAGGTTTGATGTGTGTGTGGGGGGGGGCTAGCAACCCCACACCGTTAAGAAACGATATCATCACTTGCGGAATTGTGGCTCATTAGCCTGCGCGCTTTCCTATCATCTATCAATTAGGTCACTGGTTCGAACCCCTTTCCACCCAAGGAAATTTGTGTAGTTCAGACAGCGTTATCGTCATTAGGCCTTACACAATAGGTGTATCATTACTTATTACCGAACTGTATGGATATGTTTGTGGCTGTTAAGTACCATTCAGATCCATGAGTAGCATAAGAGTAGTAATGGGAATAATATCAATAATTATGAATTCAACACCTCACTTAGATACTGAGCTATATAAAGAAAGAATATCATCAGAGGCCCTTAAAAAATAGGTTGCTTAATAAGACCGGATGGAATCACGGTGACATTTAAGACCACCGACTCGTTCAGACACAAACTCTATCGGCTTAAGAACTTGATGTATCCAATTGGCAAAAATAATACCATGTAATGACAGTGACTTGGTGTTATTATCAAAATTAGGCACTGGGGTAGAGTATAACTCCATTATGGATAAGATTTTATTTTGATAAAATCACACAATGTTACGTCTACAGTAATATTTACTGATGACCACGCTTCAAGCACAAATGGATACCACTCATAATCATATCAAGGCACTACTCACACAACTTTCTTGCTTCATTTATATACATCAGGAAAAATTGATGATTAGACATTTGAATAAAATGAATATAAGATAAAGCACATTCGGAAATAATAATATTAGTGTTATCAATGAAATACAATAGGATGGGAAATAAGATGTTTTTATAGTAAAATAAATAAACAACTTGTTAGAATGTTATAATATGAATTGAATGCATTTTAACATTATTTATTTTCCTCCTCTGATTTGACTGTTAATAATATCTTTCATATCTCTGGTATTTGCGTTGAGTCACTTCTATTGCATGTATTGGGTGTAGACTCGATGAACCAGGATTTAGTAATCAGTCACCTCTCTCTCTACTCACCTACCTATCTTACTCTTTAGAATTTTGACTCTGTCCCACCCACCCTATTGTATGGTTGTGTATGTTAATGCATGTAGTGCTGTTGCTGAGTGCTTTTTTCTAAATTACTTATTTTCGCGGGTGGGGTCAATCATTCTAGCCTCATCTAAATTCTTATGTTCCGATAATCTGACTACCTCCGATCTACTAGTTTGACTGACCTATCTAGTTGACCTAACTCACAGTCATTGCAATGTATTTTGTTATTTATTACATATATATATATATATATATATAATTTTGTTTAATTGGGTCCACCGGGTCCTTTAGCTTACAGAGCTTGTCTCTGAGTGAGTTTGTAGGTTTGAATGCCATCCTAATTCTTGATTTATTGAGAATCCTACGTAGGGTCCCCTCCTTATGTGGTATAACTGTAGACGCCTTGTCTTCTTTCATATTTATGTTATCAATATTAGTTTCACCATTATTTTTATTTTGCTTTTGACCTTTTTTGATATTCCTAATGAATTTTATAGGATAGTTATTCAACACCAACGCTTCTTCCATCTGTTTCATTTCATTATGTAGGTTTTTTGTCGTACTACATAGTCTTACTGCTCGGTTTGTTAGACACTTAACTAAGCTTGCCTTTACAGATAGATTACGGATGAGATGAATTAAATTCTATGTATCTAATTAAAATTCGTTGGCTATGTATAAATACTAGCGTGCTAATAACTGTGACGTCAGTTATACGGGTAAAACTAGTAGATTGGTGTCAATTGGATTATCGGAACGTAAGTATCTACCTAGAATTAGGGTCACTGACCCTACTAAGGTTAAATAATCTGGAAAAACTCCTGGCCGCATACACGCACAATGCTTTTGCTTGCGTGTAATTACTCATTCTAAAGTGGGATAGGGTAAAATTAATTCAAGAGTTGTATATAATTATGTGGGCATAGAGGAAGAGAGGCTGATCACACAGTCTTTGACCTTCGAGTCAACAACAAACACGTGCAGTCGAAATAGCGTAACAAAAAAAACAGGAGGGAGACATGGCTATGAAATCCAACTCAGCAAAATAGAGTGGATACATTGAGATATACCTAATGAGCAACATGCTGTATTTGAAACATTATCCAGTTAATAACACTCTATCTCACTCCTCAGTGTATTCATTCACAATGTAAATGGCTTCTGACTTGCTTCACTTGCATAATTCTACTATCACGTAGATGGGATTGCAGTTAAAAGTAAGTCACAGGATTTCATCATGAGCTGACATTGGTTACAGAACCATTGGAAAACCTGGGAGTACTACACAGCTGTCTCGTCCTAGTCTGGGACTCTTCATCAAAACCACCCTACACTGTGGGGTTCCAAACTAGGACCTTCTGATTACAAGGTGAGCTCGTAGGCCTGGGTTCAAACCCTTGTGAGTGTGTACTGATGAAGAGTCCCAAACTAGGATGAAATAGGTAGATGTCCAGTACTCCCAGGTTTTCCAGTGGTTCTCTAACCAATGTGAGTTCATGATGAAATCCTGTAACCAATCAATCAAATCCCTACAAACTGATACTTAAAACTAAGTCAGTTGATTGTTAAGTACCTAGGAGATTAAGTACTTCCTCTGATCTTTCCTGCTCTTCCCATATCATGTTAGTCCATGTTCTACAAAGATAATTCGTTTAACTTCAATAGTTTTTTTTTAAATTTATGTATTCTATCTACTAAAAAAGGCACTAATAGCTGTCAGTGTGGCGAGTGGGTTGTTGTCAAACCAGACAATTGCTGAACGCTGTTATAGACAGACACACAACGAACTCATGCAAGAAATTAGCAAATATTATCTTGTCAAGCTTTGAGAATCCCTTCTATATACACAAATCTCTCCTTGAATCTCATCGGGTAGAAGTAGGCCAGGTAGAGGGTGCATAGATCATATCTTCACTCTCCGACAGATCCTAGAACATAGGCACACTTTCAGGCGTCCAACAATTGCCATATTCCTTGACTTGAAGGCGGCCTTCGACTCCGTGGATCGAGAGGTTCTATAGCAATGTTTGACTATGAAGGGAGTGCCAAGAAAGTAGATTGCACTAATCAAGGCACTCTACTCAAACTCACGTAGCTGTGTAAGGGCTTATGGGGAATTGTCATGTGAATTGATAACAACCAGTGGTGTCCGTCAGGGATGTCCACTTTCCCCTTTTCTGTTTAACTTCATCATAGATATGCTAATGGAAGTATCCTTAACCGAACGTAACGACTTAGGAATCGACTTGTTACCAGGGAATAGTCTTATAGACTTAGAATACGCAGACGACATAGTCCTGTTAGGGGAGGACGCTGACAAAATGCAGAGTCTTCTGAACACCTTGAGCAGCAATCTTCGTATGTTTGGCATGCGATTCGCCCCTGTGAAATGTAAGATGCTGCTACAGGACTGGACTACGTCAACTCCTAGCTTAGTGATACGGAGTGAAGTGATAGAACATGTTGACAACTTCACCTATTTAGGAAGTTGTATCAGCACCAACGGATTGATTGGTGACGAAATCACAGCACGGATGCAAAAAGCTCGGGCTGCTTTCGCCAACTTACACCGTCTCTGGCGTAGGCGTGACGTCCGGCTGTCAACCAAGGGACGTGTATACTGCTCAGCAGTTCGCTCCGTCCTTCTCTATGGCGGTGAGACGTGGCCATTGAGAGCGGAAGACATGAAGAGATTGTCTGTTTTTGACCACAGATGTTTACGATCTCTCTCTCGCGTTAGGTGGTATAATAAAGTAAGTAATGTTGACGTTAGGCGTAGAGTGTTGGGCAAAGAGGGAAAATCAATCGAAGAGGCTATAAAGTTACATAGATTGAGATGGCTAGGTCACGTGCTGCACATGCCTAACCATCGCCTCCCCCAACAATCGGGCATTACTAGCTGATATAGGTGCAGGTTGGAAAAGAGTAAGTGGTGGCCAAACAAAAACATGGCCTCATCAATCCATGAAATCCTTGATAGTTAAACTGAGTCAGGTAGGGAGATGCAGACTTCCGGGTTGGGGCCCACCCTCGGGACTCTAAGAATCAATGGCTGGAGACAATAGGCGACATGGCTCAAAATCATTGTCAATGGCTTACGCAGATGTATTCAGTCTCTGTAATCTTTCATACTCCTTTCCACCATTTCTCATTCTGTTTCACTCTTATACTTGTCAAAACTCTATTGATTCTCTTCGCTCATTTTCTTGCCTACCTTTGTGTGCTATTTGGAACGTGGCAACTCGAACTGCTGCACTTCGGTGCCAAGTTCTATGTTGAATCCAGACAGACAGACAGATCGGGTAGAAGTAAAAGCGACTATAGAAGACTGTATACTCGGTTGACGAAGTATAAAATCTCCACAACCAGGAATCACTGGGCAGGTAGCTGTTACGGTATATATATATATATATATATATATATATACTGATTTTATTCCTGTTGTGATGTCATCATTAGTGTACACTTCTGCCAAGTCCTAACCTATGACGAAACGTCCTAGCTGTCCACTGTATTTTCTGGTTTTCAATGGTCTTTCTAATTGTAATTGTTCGTCCGTAACAAAATCTACCAATTGAAATCGACCCAAATCCCCACAGAGAAACTCATGCTATAATTATTAATCTTTTCTTTTGGTATAATAAAGGTTGAGTTAAATTGAGTTCTTTTCATTCACGTATACTCAAACACTGGACATGTTCAGTATTCAATATATGTTCCAATATTAGTTAGTTATTAAGACAAATAAATCTATGCTAACGTTCACATTAATATCAATATTTAGTTAATTAATTATTTGACTTATTTTATGGAAGGATTTGAATTTACTAAAGTTGATTCCACTTCCTAGTCTCCCCCCCTCCTCCACCACTTACTGCATTCAACTGACCCACTGAGAGAATAAATCGATATTGATTCAAGGAATAAAAATGTATTCCATATGTTGTTTATTATAAATAGTTTAACAATTTATAATTATATCAGCAATATGTAGCGTAGTAGGTGATAGATAACGCTTCAATGTTTGAAGCGATGGACAGTAGGTTCAAATTCTATGTATGGAGAACATCATCACTCATTTGAAGATCATGAGGTTACATTCAGCTGATAAATCCGAAGTATGTTAAAAGGCACGTCGTCGATTGCTCTAATAGCTTCGCAGAGGGGAAATCAATCGACGAGGCTGTAAAGCTACCTTGACTGAGATGATTAGGACAAGTGTTACGTATGCCTAGCCATCGACTGCCTTCCTCGACGGACAATGTTAGCTGATATAGGGTCAGGATGGAAAGGAGCTAGTGGTAGTCAAACCAAAACATGGCACCAGTCACGTAGGAAAGTGTAGACTTCCTGGATGGAGTCCTAGGGACGGTGAAAACCAACGAAGACTGGAAACAATTGGTGATGTAGCTGAGAATCTTTGTCAATGGCTGGTGCAGATGCATCCACTCCCTGTGACTTATAATATCCAATCAAACTATATGGTTCTTCGTTATTACTATTCTTTTCGTCACATATCCCTGTCTACTGTCTCTACTTTGCATTTCTTCTACTTTCTTCTCTTGTTTTATGTGCTATATGCAGGGAGAGTGGTGACTTGAACTGCTGCATATCGGTGCAAAGTTCTATGTTGAAGACAGACAGACAGATAGAGAGATCACTCACATCAGCTTAAACACTTGACTTTCAACTATAGGGATCCTGAGTTCGACTCCCTACCCACCTACATCGTCACAATGACAACTTAGTAGTGTCATCAGCCCTTAAACACACAAAAAAATTAGTGTGGCTCATATAGATCTTTTCCTAGATTCATGATTCATCACAAATCAGTTTATAATGTCAGTAAAAGTAATCTGTTATAATATCCTGTCTTCAACACATATCTACAGTGTAGTGCCTGACTCGGGAAGATCTTCATATAGAGAAGGCAGAATATGAATATTTTTCCAACGCAGTCGAATGGTGTTCTTAAGGTATATATATACAAAAGAACAGTTGGTCAGTCGACTGTGGATGGTGTTCATACATTAGCTGAAGTACTTGAATCTCAGTTAAATAAAATTGATTTTCAAATACCATTTCGCCCCCCCCCCCTCTTTAATCTTTTACGTCTTGATTATATTATAATTGTGAATCACACCTTAATGCATGAAAATTAGTTTATAGGTTGAAATAATACATTTGACTTGTTATCCGAAGAGTGAGTCTTCAATTCGAATTGTATAGCGCCGTTCAGGCATTCTTCTTTTTCTTCTTAACTTGACCTTATCACTCCTCTATGCAAATACAGTGGGTCTAGTATTCACGCATATCCCAAACAGTTTAATTCATACACATTAATTCTCTCTCCCTACTACTCCACTCGTATGTTTGAAATAGAAACCTGTCGTGTTAAGTTAAGCGGCAGAGGACTAATATCACGTCAGCAAGCTGAGATTAGATAGATCACTCAGTTTTCAAGTGTTGGTTTGTAGGGATTTGATTGGTTACAGGATTTCATCATGAGCTGACATCAGTTAGAGAACCATTGGAAAACCTGGGAGTACTGGACAGCTGTTTCGTTCTAGTTTGGGACTCTTCAGCAGTACGCACCCACCGGGATCACTCAGTTGTTTGCCGTAGAATTGTAGTGTGTAATGGCCGGCAGCGAAATCCATGACTTGTGTTTCCTCCTCTTATTACACATCATCTGAAGTGATGACAACCAGTGCAGTGCTGTCACTTAGAGAGATGCCCACTGTCCCTCCTTAGGTTTTTATATTTCATCACAAGTATAGTAATCGAATTGACCCTAACTGACTTCATTGATTCAGGAGTTGAATTTTTACCAGGGAATAGTAATAGTCTTGTTGAATTAGAATATGCAGATGATATAGTCCTCCTTCTCCTCCTCCTAGGTGAAGGCGTTGGTAAAATCCATAGTCTTCTGAACAATGTTTGGCATGCAATTAGCTCCTGTCGAATGTAAGATGATGCTACAGGACTTGACTGCATTGACTCACTGCTAGCTTAAATATAGAGGGTGAAGTGGTTGATTGAGGGTGTTAACCACTTCATTTATTTGGGGAGTTGAATCAGCCAACTCCAGAGGGTTGATCGCTGACGAAATTTCAGCATGGATACAGAGGGCTAGTTTCGCATATGCCAGTTTACGCCGTCTCTGGCGTAGACGTGATATCCGGCTATCTATCGACCTGATGATGTGTGTACTGCTCAGCAGTCCACTCCGTCCTCCTTTATGGCTGTGAGACCTGACGATTGAAAGTGGAAGACATGAAAAGCCTGGCGAGCTGTCTTTGATCATAGGTGCTTGCATTATATCTTCCGTATTTATTGGTATAATAGGGTGAACAATATTGAGGTTAGACGTTGAGTGCTAGGTAGGTGGGAGGGGAAATCAATAGACGAGGCTGTGAAGTTACATCGATTGAGAGAGAGATGGTTAGGATATGTGTTACGCATGCCTAGCCATCGCTTTCCTCGACAGACGGGCAATGTTAGCTGACTGACATAGGATGGATCAGGTTGGAAAAGAGCTAATGATGTTCGAATTAAAACTAAGAATCAGTCCATGAAATCTTTGGTTCAAACCACTTGGGGGTCCTGGAGATGTTATAAAACCCAATGACTTGAGAGTATTACTGATGTGGTCTAAAATCCTTGTTCTCAGTGTTTGGCGCGCAGATGTATTCACTGTTAGTCCTGTCCCATAAGCATTAAATCCTCATGCTTTTTCATGGTACTATCCTTTCTACCAAACATTTTAGCTTATTATTGCTATTTCTAATCTCACTTCACTCCTTTATCAGCGTTTATAGATGGTAGAGGAGAAGTGTGGCCCATGAAATTGTTGCCATTGTGTGTACAAGTTCTTTGTTGAAACCAGTCAGTCAGTTCATCTTCCCCCCCCCTCCCCGCAAATTCGCCCTACTACATACACCTGCAATCCGGTTGTAAAGTTGTAGGTCAGGTTATATGACACTTTTTTTGTTTGTAGAAGTGGTGAAAGTTTTTAAAAATTTTTTAATTTTGTTTCCGTATAACCTTGTTGGTAATCAAGAATTTTTCCTCTTCCTTTCTCTCTCTCTCTCTCTCTGCCCCTCTCATCATCAAATGTCTAGACGGATCCTGCTATTCTCGATCCAGGAACCTATCACTTACGTTTAATGAATTGTAATCCAAGCGATGTAAACATGTGTCTAGCTCGAGTTCATATACTCGGAGAATCGGATATTAAACGTCAATGTTATAATAAATTACTAGCAGTAAGTTATTTCCCTTTAATTAAACTACCTAACCCCATTATTTTGTTTCTCCACTTTGTGTTTTTTTACCGTATTTTAAAAAATTCCGTGTAGCGATTGGATTGTTTGTTTTTTTCTCTCAGGGATTTTTACATAGGTAGGGTCACTCACTAGTTTACCAGCCGAAATCAATATATTCCTTCTCTCTTTCTCTGCGCTTTCAGGACTAGCTATCAGTTAAACTGAGAAACCATTAGTTCATAACTCTGAAATCGTTAGTGTGGAAATCTTATGGCATTCAACAATAGGAGCATTAATATCATGTCATTCAGTGCTTTAAGGTGGTTCGGATACTTGACGCGTCATTAAAAAAAAGAACAGGCTGTAAAACTTTCATCAATGGCAGACTGACTGGCTGGCTATCTTCACTCGATAAGCAACTAAAAACCCCAACAAGGAAATAACCAAGAATCTATAAAGATATTTTAAGACCACACCCTGAATGGCAAGCCAACAAGCTGTGCATTGCTTCGAGAGTGACAAAAAAGGAGATCATGTGCGGAGAAGTTGAAAGCTTATAGTGGGCAGTCATGTAGGAGGAGGAGGATCTGGACTTCGCCGATGTCTGATTTCTCACAAACTGGAAGATACGCAAGCGGAAAGCAACAAGTTGGAGGTAGAAGAAGCATCGAAGATAGGACTTCCGTTAGGTGAATATAGAGAAAACAGAGGTAGGTGATGAAGATTCCTGGGCAACACTACCAACAGCAACAGAAACAATAGACAACAATCAGCATAAATGGAAGGAACCTGAAAGAAACAATCTCTTTCACCTACCGACCTGCGAAGCATCGTTTCAACTACAGGCGGATGGAACTGATGAGGATTTCAAAGCAGGGATCGGAAAAGCAAGACAAGCTTTCACTACTCTCAAGTCTGTGTGGAGGTCAACAGCACTCAGCATGAAAAATAAGATCCGGATTTTCAACTCCAATGTGAAGTCAGTCAGTGCTACTATAGGGATCAGAGACTTGCACTGCGCGTCATAAAGAGCATCTCAAACAATCTACATACCTTCATTAACAGTTGTCTTCGCTCAATACCACTCAAGATCAGATGGCCGGTCAGAAAATATCAGCAACAGAGATCTCTGGCAATGAGCGAACCAACACAGCAGGAACCGATTGTGCAACAAATAAGCAGGAAGAAATGGAGATGGATTGGCCATATTCTGAGGAAACCATCATTAGACAAGCCATTGCCCGAGTGGAACCCGAAAGGGAAGCGGCAAGTTGGTCGTCAGTGCGAGGGTGACTTGGAGGAGGTCATGTGAAGAGGAGATGAAAGCGTGTGGGCAGACTTGGAGCCAGGTGAAGACTCTAGCAGAGAACCGAACGCAGTGGAGACGCACGGCTGAAGCCCTATGTTCCTCTTGGAATTAAAGGAAACAATAATAAATAATAATCTAAGGGATGAATAATAATAATATATATTCGACAACCAACCACCTAATATGAGTTCTTCTCTATGGGTCTGAAACTTGGTGCGCGCGTGATCAATGGAATTGCTAACAGCCTTCTTCTCTGGTTCCATACTGAGGTTCAGTTGGTCGCAGAGACAAGATTAGCAACAAAGGATTGCGAGAACGAATCAATCAAGAACTTATTGCTCAGAAAATATCCTGGATTGGATGCATGCTGAGGAAACTGTTGAATGACATGGCTCACCATACCGACCTTCGAATTTGTAGCCGCAGTGGGAAACGACTAGATGGTTTTAGATGCTATGATGACATGAAGGGAATCGTCTGGGGAAGAGTTGAGAACCTCTGGGCAGTGGTTAATGCCAGCTGAGGAGGATGAGAGAGAACCGGACAAAACGGAGATGTTTTGTTGAAGCCTCATATTGCACTCGGAACCCAAGGCAAGTCACCTCATTTGGTGCGTAAACCTGACTGATAGTATTCAGTTTGGCACTTAATCAGTTGGCGATAAGTGTCTATAAGTATGGTATGTGCTTTATTCTGTCTAAGTATAAAGTATTGTTGCAAAATTGACAGGAATGTGTACACTTACACTCTCATCCTTGCAAGTGATCTGCTTGAAGTTGTCGATAAATTCGTGTATCTCGATAGTTGTGTAACTGCTGGTGGAGGTTCGATGGACGAGATACCCAGGCTGATATACACCCGATTTCTAGCCACCTATAATGATGCCATCATAACGTCAGTCTGGCTGTCAAAGGTTGGGACTGCAAGGCTTCGGTGCGAGCAGTCTTGCAATACGCCTGTGAAACTTAGCCTGTTTGACAACTCGATCATTCGTTAGAGTAGCTTGCGTCCGATGACATCATCGTGTAAATGATTATGACGTCCGGTAGCGTGTGTTCTAACATGCTAGAGATTAGCATTCATTAAGTGTGGTGGTCACATAGAAACAACCGGCTTAGGTGGTGGTGATGGTGGCGTCGACATGCACCACGCTTATCACCCCAGTGGCTCTCCTATACCTCGCTCGCTGTGGATAAAAAACGCGGAGAGGTGGTCAGTCTATGACTTAGCGCTGTGGAACTACAGAATTGTTAGTTTGGTTAATTGTGACTTGCCGATTTGGGGGGCGGGGGTCCAAGCGATTGTTCGATTCGATCAGATATGTCTAAAAATCGTAAGTGGCGAGAACATGTTACCATTTCGTTCTTTCTTCTCTCGTTTTCTTTTGGTGCCCATATTGATGTACCAAGTTTTTTTTGTTTAATAATAATAAATCAAGTTATCACACTACCTAATGTATATATCTGGTACAAAAATTGATCCCCTTTTTATATCACCACTTTCAGTTTATCCTATCTGAACCAGCCTTCGACTATTTACGTACAAAAGAATCCCTAGGATACACTGTATACCTTCGATATTGGCTATCTATGCCTGGTGGTAATTGTCATTCAGGTATAAGTTTGGTTGCATGTAGTCCTGCGAATAAATTTTCAGTTAACTTTGTTGCTGGCCGATTAACTGCTTTCTGGCGTCGAATTGCTCCAAGGATTATTGCTGCTATGCCACCGGAAAATTTTAAAACTTCGGTAAGTAGTAAATGTTGCTTTTTCTGTTCTGTTTTGTTGTATTTTATTTCATTTCATTTTATAATATTTTTCCTGTTGACAATGTGGAGGTGAAAGGACTTGGTAACGGTCCTTTACCAAGGAAAAAATCACACCATATTTATACATTTTTAACCACATTAGAGTTCGCTTAGGTTAGAAGAGAATAAATTGTTCTGATTGGTTGGCGATTGGTCCAAGGTTTTGCAAATTGCCCAATCAGGTTGTTTCATGTCCACAACGTGAACTAAATCCAGATTTGTGTAAATAGACACTTTAACTTCTGTAACGATTGATTTAAAATATCAACTGCAATTTTTGACCGTTTCCTGTCAATCTACATCACGCTACAATACCTTCGTTGAATAAGTTGAACCTTTTGTTGTACAGACAACATTGGAAAGATTTTCAACTGTTATTTCCCATAATTTTTTTTTCGTTGGTGATTGGTTTCTAAAGTATGAGTAAGACAAAGACTATTGGAATCTTGGGAATGTCGACTGATAGATAGCTGAGTTCTCTCTCTTAACGCCACAGTACACATCCATGACTTAAGTCATCCGGAATTGAACTCAAGACTTTCAGGTTCTGTGAAGTGAGCTAAATTGAGCATTCAGCTGCTTTAGATGGAATTCTATAGCCCATGAATTCCAACTTTTGTCGCTAACACTAGAGAGAATATCACCGGTGGCTATCAAACTTTGTGAACCTTAGAACTGTAGGCAACTTCATCCTGTAGTTCAGTTACCAGTAATTATTATCACCTTTAGTTCCTAGAAGAACACATGGCTTCAGTCGCATGTCTCCATTGCGTGCGGTCCTCTGCCAACGTTTTCATCTGGCTCCATGTATGCCCGGATGCTTTCATCCCCTCTTCACACTACCTCCTCCATGTTGTCACCCTCGCATTGAGCACGAGCTCACCGCTTCCCATTCGCGTTCCACTCGAGCAATCGCCTGGCATGTGATGTCACTCACTTGATGGTTTGTTTTCTCAGAGTATGGCTAGTCCACCTTCATTTATTCTGCATATTTGTTGCACAGTTGGTTCCTGCTGGGTTGGTTCGTTCTTTCCCAGAGATCCTTGTTGCTGATGTTTTTTGGCCTGCCATCTGATCTTGAGTAGTATTGAGCGAAGACAGCTAGCTGTTGATGAAGGTGTGTAGTTTGTTCGAAGTGCCCTTCGTGAGTTGGAGCAGTGCCAAGTCTCTGATCCGTATAGTAGTACTGACTGACTTCACATTGGAGTTGAAAATCCGGATCTTATTTTTCATGCTTGAGTCTAATGAAAGCTTGCCTTGCTTTCCCGATCCTCGCTTTCATATCCTCATCAGTTCCTTCCACCTGCAGTTGAAACGATGCTTCCCTGGTAGGTAGGTCGGTCGGTAGGTAGGTAGGTAAAGTAGGTTGCGTCTTTCAGATCTCTCCCATTTATGCTGGCTGACTGTTGTCTGTTGTTGTTGCTGTCACTGTTGGCCAGGAATCTTCACCACCTACCTCTGTTTTCTCTATGTTCACCTGGAGTCCTGCCTTTGATGCTTCTTCTATCTCCAACATGTCGCTTTTCACTTGCATCTCTTCCAGTTTGTGGGATATCAGACATATATCATCGGCGAAGTCCAGAACTTCGAATGTATTTGTGTGAGTTCATTTTATGCCTGTTTCCTCGTTGCTCACTGTGTGTTGCAATATCCAGTCGACGACCTGAAATCAGGAAAATCATTGGAGACAGTAGGCAGTCTCATTACCAGTAAATAGTAGATCAATTTTCAAGTGATGATTTGCGGTGATTAGATTAATTTCAAAATAGATAATGAACTGACTTCAGTTAGAGAACCATTAAAACTACAGAGTACTCGTCCTGGTTTGGAACTCATCAGCTCAATGGTGATTGAACTCCAGGAAATTCAGGTTACGAAACGAACTTGTGTGAGCATAGCACACATATAGACAGTGCAAAATCCATCAGTTTATTTCCTTCACTGACAATGTTTGATCTCTTGTGCATCTTTTTCTTTTACAGGTGGAATCACTTATATCAATCCATCAACTAGAAGATCCTAATATGGCTACAGAATTCGAAAGGAATTGGGATGAAATTATGCAGACTACAGCGAATTTTAATTACAGAGAAGAATGTGTAAGTTTTGCCTGAAAACTGTACTGTACTGTACTCATTGATTGATTCTAGTCACATCCATTTCGTACTGTTCTCTGCAGTCCTTATCAGCTGACGCCACGATTACCCATAAGCTTCCATCTGCTCTACATGTTACCTTTGTAGTTACTCCCGACTTATCGTTTCACACTCCTCCGATTCTACTTGTATGATGCCATTCGACGGTCTCCTCAGTGTGTCTCCGATCCATCTTCATTTTCTTCGGAGTTTTTGTTGTTGAATAGGTTGTTGTTTGGTTTCATTCTGTTCTCAGAGTTTCTTATTGATATAAGGATAAAGCTTGGGCACTGTGGTGGTGGTAGAGTATAACTTCATTATGGATGAAATTTTATTTTGATAAAATCACACAGTGCTGTTATTTTTTTTGCATTTTTTTTTATTTTTTCACCTTCCTTGTGGAACATACGGCTTGAAGCTTCGGTAGTAGTGGTGTTTTTTTATTTTTACGGAATGAGGTTGCTAGCCTCATATGCCCAACCTTTCCTCTTATTACTTGGCTTAGCGAGGTAAAGGAGTGCTGTTATACAGTAAGTAATATTTACTGATGACCACATTTCGAGCACAACTTATAACTGCTCATAATCATTATATCAATGCACTTCTCACACAACTTTCTTGCTTCATTTGAATAAAATCAATATAAGATATAGTATATTCAGGAAATAGTATTGGTATTATCAATAAAATATAATCAGATGGGAAATAATATGAGTAATCACATGCTCTGTAGACTAAAGGGTGATGTCGGTTGACCCAATAAGACAAAATAATATAATTTACAAAATACCTTGCAATGACTGTGAGTTTAGTAAACTACATAGGTAAGTCACACTAGTAGATCGGAGTTAGTCAGATTGTGGGAACATAAGAATTTAGTTAAGGTTAGAATGATTGACCCCACCCGCAAAGATAAGTAATTTAGAAAAAAAAGCACTCAGCAATGAATTGCACTGCATGCATTAACACACAAACATACAATAGGGTGAGTGGGACAGAGTCGAAATTCTAAGAAGCAATGTAGGTGGGTGGAGCGAGAGAGAGACTGACTACTGAATTTTTGTTCATCGAGTCTACACCCAACATATGCAATAGAAGTGACTCAATGCAAATACCAGAGATATGGAAGATATTATTACCACCAGTCAAATCAGAGGAGGATAATAAATAATGTTACAATGTATTAAATTCAATAATGATAATAATAATAATTTACTTTATTCCAAAAACAGTACTTGTGATACAGAATGGAATTTTCAGCATTATTCACAATATTGCATCTAATTTCCTCAAATTATAAATAAAATTAATCACATAGAAAATTTTTCAACATTTACAATAGGGTTAATGTCAAAAGAAAACATGCAGCATATAAAATGGAAATAATAATAATAATGATAGCAGTTAAGGTAATGATAATAATACAAGTGAAAATTGCCGTGGGCTTGTTTCACACAGTATTGTCGATGCGGAATACAAATCCTTGCATGATTAAAAATATTGAATATGATGTTCTCTTTACATGATATGGTGAGGGAAAAAACAAAGATTACAGCAGTCATAGAGATAAGTTGGTGTTTGCAGTTATGAAAGTAAAAACAAAGAATCAACAGGACCATAAATATAGTAGAAATAATAAAAGTAAAACTTGAAGGTATATAAGGATGGATGGAGGAGATTGTTTATTTACTAGATGAAAAAAGGTAAGTCAATTCTTACCTGACGCTATTTTCATCACATAAAATACGTGCCAAGTATGGTATTATAGAATTTTTATACTTAGACGTGCGAGCATACAGTTTTCTGAAGTTACTTCTTGTTCTACCTGAGGAGATGCAAGGTGAAAGCTGAGGGTGAAGTGGATGCTCCAATTCAGACAAAATCCCTTCAGAAAATTTACTGCAGGAAGTCAAGTGCCTATCGACAACGACGTTAACTATGTAGTCCGCCGGGATACCACTCATCCTACTGATAGTCTTCAGCATTCCACTTAACATTGGTGTTCCTATATGCTAAAATCAGGAGACTCCCCTAACTGATTTTTCATATTTTCACACTACACAAAAATGCGTCACAATTACCCCTGTCAGTGTTCAGATAGGGTGTTGTTTCGACATAAGTGTTTTGAGTGAAAGTTATCAATCAACTAAGTGGTCATACAGACACACACACTACACTTGCCTTTTCTCTCTGTATAAGGTCAGTTCACACTTCTTTTAAATAACCGAATGTCACCACGTCCGGTTGTTTGTTTGTTTTTCTAGAGAACAATGAATTTCTTCACTTCTCAGATGATTGCTAAAAGCCGTGAAATCCTTTTTTGTGTGTGTGAAGATTCCCGCTGATGATGAAAGACTTTAATTTTCAGACATTCAAGTACTAACATTGCACTTATGTACCAGTGTCAAATATAAGATGACTCTGTATGACTGGTCTGAACCGATGCTTAATTTGAAGATTGGGAGTGTTGACTACTTCGTTTACTTGACGGGTGGTGGTGGGGGGCGGTTTGAAGTTACGTCAACCCAAATGGACTGATTACTGACAAATTTTCGGCATGGATGTGAAAAGCTTGCGTGTCATTGACAAAACTTACGTAACCTCTGGTGTAGGTGCGATATCAGGTCATCGGTCGAAGGAAAAGTGTGCACTGCACAGGAGTTCGCTGTGTCCTTCTTTACGACCGTAGAAGATATGAGGAGGCTAGCTAACTCTCTTTTTTGTTTTAATTCTTTTACGTTCCCAATGGAAAGTAAAGCTTGAAGTTTTGGTAGCAGTGGTGTTTATTTTCACGGGATGGGTTTGCTAGCCAGCCTAATGCCCAACGCTCCTTCTTTACCACCAATCTTATTACTACTGGCTTAGCGAGGTAAAAGAGTGCGTTGGCGGCCGGATCGAAATCCGAACCACTTAGGGTGTGGTTGGCAAACATCTTCCCGCTGTGCCAACGACGCACGCTGTCTTTGGCCCCATATATATTTTAGCGTTCCATCCCCTTCGTTAAATGGTCTAATTTCGGGTAAGTAATATTGAAGTTCGGCATAGAATGAGTTTGATAAGGAAGCGCCTAGGACACATGTTCTATGCATGTCGAGCCACCATCTTCGTTGTCAAACATTGTACTTCCTAGCTGACACAGGATTAGGTTGCAAAAGAGTTAAAGGTGCAGACAAATGAAAATATGCAATCGATTCATCATCAAGTTTCTGACAGTTTGTTTGATTCATACTGAGTAGCTCAGAGGTTAAGAATCAGTGCCTGGGAACTGTTGATGATATCGCTCAAATTTGTTTTCAGTGACTTAGTTGCATCTAATAAATGCTTATGATTCTCCGTGGAACTATTCCCAACACACAACTCATCACTTTTCGCTGGGGTTCCAATCCATGGTCCGAACCGAAGTATGGCATCGCTTGAATATCTATTTTCTTAGTGTGTGTGTATGTCCAATCTGTTTGAATTCTCCTCTGCATATATATGTGTTGGGCAACAGATCGTAGGTTGGTGAGCTGCCTACCAGAATGCTTTGTTGCCTTTCCAGTATATATATCATGCAATATAACATTTAGACTGTGACAAATATAATACACATGTTCTACTATTCTTGTTTATATTTAGGTTAAAATTCTGTCAACAATTACTCAAGAAAGTTTATTAAGTTTCTTTTTAACAGAGTATTTGGATACGAAAAAGCAACGTTCATTATTTATTCAGGTAAGAGTCTTTCTTATGCATGTTTTTTTATGATATAAGTTTTCGTCTTTTGATCAGTACGAAGTTTCTTTGAGGTCTAGTGAGTTAGAAATCGTGACCTGTGGGGTTCACCCGGCCGCCAATGAGGACAGATTCTCACTCGCCAATAACACTAACTGGTGGTCACTCCAAAAATCAGCAATCGGTAAAAGTTAGCATTCATGAGCCATTAAGTCGGATGGGTCCCAGTGGCTGAGGAATGGTCTACGAGCTTGACTTGTAATTGGAAGATCCTGGGTGGGCTTGTACTGTACTGCCGAAGAGTCCCAAAGTGAGGCGAAACAGGCCATATATATATCTTTATCATTCCTTTGAGTTTTCAATGGAACATGGGGCTTCAAGCTTTCAGCTTTTGGAGTTTCAGTGACTATAATGTTTTATATTTATTGGACAGGGTAGCTATCGTCACGCCTAACTTTCTTCCTTTCTTCTCCGAGCTTACCAGCTGCTGGTAACATCCGTAAGGTTTAGAAGTGTGTTGACTATACGTCGAACCCTTACCACTACCTATGAAAGAATCACATGTCTAATGGTATTTCAGTGGAAACTGGGTCCATAACTAGTGTCAAGCGTCTAGTCATTTTTTCCTTCAACGTCCCAGATACGCCTAACCCTATGTTCAAGGTTTCCTGTCGATTCTATCAAGCCAGCCGCCTAACAATAATTCAGAGTACACTGTGATGGTGATCCTCCTAGCATGATGACCACATTGCCAATGTGACTGTTAGAATTCAGTCAGCACTGAACAGGAGATTAAACGCATAATAATGGTTATATGCTACCTACTGTTCCATCGAAGTATCCAATACAGTCCTACAGGAGGTCAACTGCAAGTCTGAATAGCTCAGTTGTAACTTCTGTGACTGCAGCACTGAGTGACAGAGGTTCTGTCTCAGAAGTGATGTAAGTCCCTCCTAGGTTGTAGGTACATCTTTCCTGACTGCTGAATGCCAAACAACCAGAAAACCTAGGTCTGGTGAGGCTTGTTGCTGATTGCCTCCAACTATCTAATAACAGTTTCAATCAATTAAATCCCTACAAACCAATACTTGAAAATCAATGTAATGCTCACTGGCCACTGGCTTTATTCAGGAAGCTAACCTGGGGCTTTAGTGGGAAGCCGCGACAAGTAGGGTGCAGTGGGTTGGGTTTGACGACAAATACTCGCCGAAGACATTGGCTAGCGATCGCGTAATCTCATGAATTGGCAGAAATTGGAATTCATGGACTGCCTATTGGATTGGGTCCTAGTGGCATAATGGTCTACGAGCTCGCTCACCTTGTAACCAGACGATGCTCAGTTCGAACCCCGTGGTGTGGATGCTTACCGATGAAGAGCCAGTCCCAATGAGCGTCTGACGACGGTTGTCTTTAAAGATCAATCAGAGTCTACACGAAGTCGACATGGATTGATAAATACACGAATTTACATAGTAAAATCCTTTTGAGAAGAAAGGGAAATCTGACACACTCCTTATCTTTCTTGGGTTACTCTAAAACGACTGTGTCATATTGAGAAGGGTAGTAAAGGTGGTTGTCAGTAGGGCAAGTAAGTAGTGTGTACCACTAAGTTAGCCGACTAGTTACTATTGTAGTCAACAGACACCTGAACTCATGTGAGAAATGAGCGGACTAAATCAAATCCATACTGTCTGACTCCTCTCACCACCCTATTTAAATCACAACTCTCCTAGCCTTTTTGACTTTGTTGTTACTGCTAATGCCGAAAAGTGTTGCTACTATCAATTTTGGTTACCTATACCACCCTGTAATGCTTTTGTCGCTGTTGTTGTTGAATAAATTAGATGCAATATTGTACGAAACGCCCAGAATTCCATGGTGTATGTATCATGAGTACTCTTCCGTAATAAAGCAAAGCACTACTATTATTTGGAGGAAAACCAGGTTTTCCAATGGTTCTCTAGCTGGTGTCAGCTCATGATGAAATCCACCACCCTACCAAACAAACAAAATCCCTATAAAAACCAATACTTGAAAATTGATCTGATGCTCACCAGCGACTGGCTACATTCCAGCAGTAACCTGAGGTTCTAGTGGCAAGCTGTGACCAGCTGGATGCAGCAGATCGGGTGTTAGGACAAATACTCGCCAATGATGACAGGAATGGGTTGCTAGCCTCAAATGCCCAACCTTCCCCGTTCACCAGTGTTATTAGTGGCTTAGCGATGTAAAGGAGTGTGTCGTCCGCCGGGCCTCAAACCGCGAACCACGTGTGGCGTGGTTAGTGAGCATTCTACTGCTGTGCCACTGACGCCCACACAACAGCAGGTGAACTTTTATACACACATAGAAATAGTCAGATGTGAGATCTTGTCCTTAAGGCTTTTGAAGAACACTACTACTACTGCTCTTAACGCTGCTGCGAATTGAGTTCTTCATATAAACAAGCCGAAATTCTCCGCTTTTATGGACATGACATCTCTCGTCTTTGTTTTCGGGCACAGTGAAGCGGTATTCACGATCTCAACACACCCCTGAGTCCTAGTATCTGGCTGGGAAACACCCCCTCTGCTGATGCATCCCTGTTCCCCCATGCAGTACGACTTCGCTCACAGACCCCCAGCATAGTGTAAAAGAGAAATTCTTACACTATACCGGTAACTGCTTTTAGTCTAAATCGCTATCCTAACTACCTTGCTGGCATGGTAGAACCTGCAGGAACAATAGTTCCAGCCAGTGTAGGTCATTGCGATGTGCAAGACCGACCATCATATCAAGGTAGCAGCTCTCAGTCAGGATCTGACTGGCTAACTGTTTTGAAATATATGTATGTAAATTATTGATTGTTTTTTTGTGTTATTGTAATTTTCAGATTGATTCAACTGCTACACCTGATATGAATGGTATTAATACTGGATCATCAAATTCGTATCTATTAAATTTCGATGTTATACAAACTGATGATAAGTCAATTGCGGAGGAGTACCAGAGTTATTCAAGTGTTGATGTAACCAGTGCACTGACCACCTGTGGTTATGACGAGAAGTTAGTTAATCAATTCTTCAATAATCATAAAAACAATAATAATAATAATAATCCCTTGGATAAAAATCTACTCGACAAAGATGAACCTATCGTTTATATTAACAACTTGCTAAAATTTCATTCAAATCTAAAATATCAAACTGGTCGAAATGCATAAAAACTAGAGAATGAATAATATTTCATCGGGGTGATGAAACAGTGTAACCCGTACTATTATTGCTCTTTGTCTGGTTGCTCAGCTTGCTTGCTTGTCTGTCTGTCGGCCGCCCGGCCTGCCTGCCTGCCTTCTTTTTTATTCTGATGAATTATCTTGAATATTTTGAAATTTTTATATACATATATATGCATATCATCGAGTTGATGATGATGATGGTGATGGCGTTGATGATGACGATCGCGATCATGTGTGTTCTTGTATGTGATTATTGTACGTCAGAATTACACTGTTCTTTATTAATGAAACGATGGTGGTTTTCTATGTTGACGAAGTTCATTTCAGGGTGTGTGCCTCTGTGTGTGTGTGTGTGAGTGGGTGGGTGGGTGAATGGGGAATTGAGTGACACAATAGACGACCGAGAGTGTTTCAGTTATCCCCTTTTTCTTTTCACGTACGCAGAACTTTTTTCTCTATAGTTTGTTGTGTACTGCTTTCTGTCTGTACATATATGTATGTATGCGTAGGAAGATGATATGAAAAGATATAAACTGGAATGGATACATTCTCCGATTATTATTTTTATTATTGTAACCTTTAATTCCTAGAAGAACATAGGGCTTCAGCCGTGCGTCTCCATTGCCTTCAGTTCTCTGCTAGAGTCTTCACCTGGATCCATGTCTGCGCACACGTTTTCATCTCCTCTTCACATGACCTCCTCCAAGTCACCCTTGCACTGACGACCAACTCGCCGCTTCCCTTTCGGTCGGGTTCCACTCGAGCAATGGCTTGTCTAGTGATGTCACTCACTTGATGGTTTCCTCAGAGTATGGCCAGCCAATCCACCTCCATTTCTTCCTGCCTATTTGTTGCACAATCGGTTCCTGCTGTGTTGGTTCGCTCATTGCCAGAGATCTCTGTTGTTGATCTTTTCTGGCTGGCCATCTGATCCTGAGTAGTATTGAGCGAAGACAGCCGTTAATGAAGGTCTGTAGTTTGTTTGAGATGCTCTTTATGACGCGCAGTGCAAGTCTCTGATCCGTACAGTGAGTAGCACTGACTTCACATTGGAGTTGAAAATCCGGATCTTATTTTTCATGCTGAGTGCAGGGTGTTGACCTCCACACAGACTTGAGAGTAGTGAAAGCTTGTCTTGCTTTTCCGATTCTTGCTTTGATATGCTCATCAAATCCGTCCACCTGTAGTTGAAACGATGCTTCCCAGGTAGGTAAAAGAGGTTGTTTCTTTCAGGTTCCTTCCATTTATGCTGATTGTTGTCTGTTGTTATTCTTGCTGGTGGTGGTGTTGCCCCGGAATCTTGATCACCTTTGTTTTCTCTATGTTCACCTGAAGTCCTTGCTATCTTTGATGCTTCTTTTGCCAACTTGTTGCTTTTCGCTTGCATATCTTCCAGTTTGTGGGAAATCAGGCATATATCATTGGCGAAGTCCAGATCCTCCAAGTATTTTGTGTGAGTCCATTTTATGCCTGTTTTCTCATTGCCCGCCGCTGTTTGTCGCATTATCCAATCTACTGCAATCAAGAGGGGAAAACCATGTGTGAAGACTTAATACATTTTATGCAGTTGGTCACGACAGAGAAAACAGCTGCTCATATTTCTTTTGAATCCATACACAGATTAGGCTTGTTCAGATGAACTCCAAATGCCTCTTTTGTATGCAAAAGTCATACTTGTAGACCATGTGAAAGGTCAGGTGGTGGTCGTTGTTGGGACATTCATCCACACACGTGACATCTGGTTGAACCTCACAGGTCACGACTTCTCATTAGAACTCCAGGAAACTCCATCCGGTAGCAAGTCACTAGCGAGCATCAAGCTGTAATAAAAAATAAAATAAATAATTGGTTGCGGTCGCGCTAAATCACGAATCGGTAGAAGTCAGAATTCATGCACTGGCCATTCAATAGGATTCCAGTGGCTGAATGGTATACGAGCCAGCTTGTCTTGTAACCGGAAGGTCTTGGGTTCGAATCCCAGTGGGTGTGTATTTTTTTTTTATTTACAGCTTGATTCCACACCGTATTTTCAGTACAAGTGTGGAATTTTCAGCATGGATATCGGTAGCCCAAATTCAGGCCGACCATAGGTATCGGGTGTGCGCCGGCAGGGGATCGAACCCCGGACCATGTGCATGGTCGGCGAGAGTCCTAACCACTGTGCCGATGATTCCTAAAACCAGGATGAAACAGCTGTCCAGTACTCCGTAGTTGGTTTTCAGTGGTTCTCTAACTGATATCAATTCGTGATCAACTCGTAAAAACATAACTAACCCTTACAAACCAAACTATAGAAAAGAAAAATAACTACCCAAAGAACTTCTTCAGTAAAATCCATACCAACATTAAAGATGGTCAAAAACACGCATTCCGAAGAAATGGACCCCAACAGTTGTCATTCAATATAGGCAACAAATTCGTCAGACGATATCACCAGAGGAGTACTCGATAAGCACAACATCAGAGTTTTCTTCAAAACACCAGGCACACAAACGCTACAAAGTAACATTGTCCATGTAAAAGACCAAATCCCCAAGGATTCTCAATCTAATTTTGTCTGCAAAATAAAATTCTTGAAATATGATGCGATGTACATCGGACAAACAGTGTGAGGCAGAAATCAAGGTAATCAGAAGAAACGAAAACCGTAGAGCATCTGTTCGACAGACCATCGAGAGATCCACTTAGTGCACTAGAAAAGCTTGAAAAGTCATCAGCCATAGGTGTTGGTTTACACGCTATGGAATCAGGTCACAAAACTGATTTTGACAATATTGAAATAATCCAGGAATAAAATTTCAGTAATCACACAGAACATCTCATTTCACCGGAAGCACTTCATGTCATTAAATGGAATCCAAATTGTCTGAATGGTGGAATGATGGACTAAAACAGAATTTGACCTGATTACAAAGACCCCCTCCCCCATGAAATGACAAAGTGAACACGAATCTGATAAGCAGTTTCATGATGTTAACACATGTTACTTTTACAATTGTACACACTTATCAAATCCGACAATCTACACTTGGTTTTGTTGTCTGTACCAACCACTCAACTTGACAAATCAAAGTGACCTCATGCTGATGAAGGATGATTAAGTTGTTATGTATAAGCTGAGTTGATTTTGTCAATTCTGGTCTAATATTACTGCTTTCATAAAGCTATTAGCAGCACCAGTGTTAAACAGCGAAACATCAGTAAAAACAATAATATCGTTTTGTTTTTCATTCATTCATTGGGACGTACAAAATCTTTTTTTGTAATAATGAAGAGGATAGAGCATTTAAAACGCGTTACAAAAAACAAAACTGAAAAATAAATATACTGCATAGAGTACATTACACAACTATTCTGGAAAAATGCAAACTAACACTAATGCCGTGATAGTAAAAGATGCCGCGTAAAACGTCGTTTCTTTATGCATGTTCAAAAAAAAGCTTCGACTGCATAAGGAAGATGTAGGTGATCTTACTTTATACATATGATTTCGAATGAAGTCTCTGCTGATGTTACGTGACCAGAAGTAATAATACCTCTAGGATTGAACTGTTGCCTGTTCTGAGTTCTTTTTTTCGACAACCATGTTGGTGACAACTGTTCGTGAGTGCATCTAAGCAGTTTTATGCCTGTGCGGCCTGTGTACTCGGCTTTGCAACAGTAAGTGATATTGTGGTGAGAGATGGCTGCTAGCCAAAGTTGGTAGACAGTAATTGACATCAATGTTTATCTCCCCAATATTGGTGGTGAGAAAATGAGAACAAAGGCTTTGCGTTGGCGGATTCAGTTAGCATATGGATGATCTGATACAGCCACAAAGAGATGCAAGGTTAACTTTCTGCGAGAAACAACCAGTCAAAAGACTGTATTTTCTACTAACAATAAACTACAATAATGTACATTAAAATCTATAAATATGTGTTGATTTTCCTTAATAAACGATCTGTTGCCTGGCCCTTGTCTTCTGTTTTTTTAATATAATAAATTCACATTGAGGCTGCTAACATTGGGATCTTTGAGGCCTTGGTAAACAAGGGCCTGTGTGGCCAAAGTGAGGCGTAGAAATACAGTAAAGAATATTTTTCGAATTCCTCCCAACAGACAATATTTGAGAACTTCATCCATTTTCGATCAAAATGTTTCTGAAAGATTCCTATTCCTTATTCAGTATGTCTGCAGTACGTATACGGTAGATTCTCATCTCAGGAGAGGCGATTAGGCTTCTTTTTCTACTGATTGAGATAAATCTGAAAGTTTGCCAGTTCTCCATTTGCAGTCTTGGTTACGGTAGACTGATCTTTGTAGGAAGGATTCCATCTGATCATCTAGGAAGGATCAGTTTACCGTCTGATTCCACTTCAGTTTGGAATTCGACTGATGGATCAGTGTTGTAAAAAAAATTCCTATGATTTTGTTTAGATCATGAATAAATAACTTGTAAACCGTGAACTGATTGATTGTTGATTGGAGTACACTCTATGTGACATGATTATTTTGAAAGACGAGATTCAGAAGAAATGTGCGGGAAGAAGAATGGTTACATGGATATTACTATTCTTTTTCCCTCGTACTTCTATTCATTATCTGTCCTTTGAATCTCTCTGTTTAGTCTCTTCTCTTTCTTTTTGTGCTACTTGGAAGGAGTGTGGCTACTCGAACTTCTGGACAACCAGTCAATCATTCTACATTTTTGATTGCAACATATAAAACTTAGTCACTGAAGTGTCAAATTTCAACACTCCTTATCCGTTGTCCGTACTGAATCTTGGACACGCTGTGAACTAAAATATTTCCAAAAGATGTCAATGTTTCAGAATCAATTTCTCTTGTTCTTTCAACACAAAGTAGAAGGATTGGAGTGTTCCTTAGCTGTTCAATCCACTGAACTAATCGCGTTAATGACGACTTCTGAAGAAGTCCTGTGAATAGGGAAAAACACAAGCATCAATACAGTTTTCTTCTCTTTTGTTTTCATAAGATGAATG